AAACCATTTCAGGTGACTACCTCTTGAAGCTCATGGAGAGAATGCCAAGAGTGTGCAAAGCAGTAATCAGAGCAAAGGGTGGCTATTTTGAAGAAACTAGAATATAAAACATGTTTTCAGTTATTTCACCTTTTTTTGTTAAGTACATAACTCCACATGTGTTCATTCATAGTTTTGATGCCTTCAGTGAGAATCTACAATGTAAATAGTCATGAAAATAAAGAAAACGCATTGAATGAGAAGGTGTGTCCAAACGTTTGGCCTGTACTGTATATATAAAAGCTGCAAATACTGTTTAAACAAAGGTTTAGTTTATCATGTCATCCATTCTGTGGGTTTTGTTGATGCAGATCTCTTTATTGATCTGGAGATCTGGAAGAAAACCAAAGGAAAAGAATTAAGAGAATTAAGCTCATCTAAGAATGAATGGGTGCTTTTTGACATTCAACTCTGTTATTACACAACATGAAATGATTGTCAGTGACAGTGGCGACAACTAATTTGTGTGAGATGAGATGTAAATGTGCCATATATTAATCGGTGTGAAAAAACAAACATAAAAATAATAGTATCAAAAAGTGTAAATCTCTTGTACTTTGTAGATGAAGGATTTGACCATTGCTGACTCCTGGTGGTGCTATTAAAAACTTACAATGTGACAGGCAGCACAGAATCTAATAAAATCTTAAATTATAGAAAATAGAATTACATAGAATATTTATATTTAGTACAAAGTTTATTGTACTTGACTGTACCTGCAGCTGATCCTGTCATCACATTTGAGTATTCGTGCTCCTCTGGCTCATTATTCCTCCCTGTTAAAAGAATAAGATGAATTCATGAAAAGACAAGTTACTGTACTGTATTCAGGGTACACTGGCCTACACAAGCATCTCAACTTTTGTATGTCATTCTCACTACATAAAATGAAGCACGCAGCCCTCTTAGCATTTTATCAGTTACAGAATATGTGACATCCCTGGTTTCATTTAAAATCATTTAACCAACTCTATTATTTCTGCTCCATGTTGAACAAAAAGTATCTACTGTACCGTGTTCAAGTTCTTCAGAACCTCTGATTGTTTCATAGAGACAGACGTCACCTACAGAACAGAAAATCAAGCCAAGGTATTCATCATTTTAATCCCATTATGTAGGAATTCCCCAATCTTCTAAAACAGATAATCAAAACTGAAAATGTTAGTCTTAGATTTGATGATAAATCATAACATGAATTAGGATTAAGGCTGACCGTGGAGAAGAGAAGCATACTCTCTGCCTTGCATTTCATCCTGGTTGATCATGTGGTCTGGAGCAGGACCCTGATTGGTGCTCTGAGACCTGGTGGGTCCAAAACATGAAGTAAATACAGTGGGTTTAATAAGGAACATGTAATGTGCTGCTGTTACGTTCAGAATGAGAGAAGAGAGTGTTGGGCCGACCTCATAAAGCATGAATCTGTAACAAAAGAAAAAAAAAGACATTAACTGTGACATTGTTTAGTATTGCAAATTGTTCTATTGTTACTACAGTACATGTGATTACATCACAATCTGATATCAGCAGGAAAAGATCTCACCTTTTGACTTTGTGTAGCGACACACAAACAGCAGCAGGAGAAGAATCAGTGAAACTCCACCAACCAGCCCAACAATCAACAGCACAGGAAATGGAGAGCTTTGTTCAGGCCTGGACGCTGCTATAATAAATATTATATTAATAATTACAAGTACTGACTCATAAATAAATGTACAAATATTAGAAGACATACACTCATAAACCCTGATCACACACCATGTACATTTAGATTCACACATAAACACACAGTAAAAACTTCTCAATCTAACCTGTTATTTGATGAAAACTTTTCTTTGGCTCAAAGTTAATATTCCTTTGTAATATAAAGTAATATACAGTTAATTTATTAACATGTATTTACTTTTTTATTTCTGTGTTTCATCACTTAATGCCCTAGTTTATAAAACTAATATCTAACAACAAACTTGCAGGTAAACTCAGCTGAAACTTACCCATCTTCTAATTTAGTGATGACTTTTCTAACTCAGACCGTAACACAGCTGACAAATAAAGATTCTATTTTGAATCATACTCACATTTTACTGACATCCAACTCTCTGGTGACGTCCATCTCTGCAAACCTTGTGGTGAATCTTTTCCTTTACATTTATAAAAGCCTTCATCAGACTTTGACACTGCAGAGATAGTCAGCTCCCCTCCAGTAACACTCTGGATGAGTTTGTCATTTTTATAGAAATCCACATTATAAGGAACTTTTTCTGTCCTCAATTTGCAGCCAAGAGTGACAGAATCTCCCTCAGTAACAGGATGGACAGGGCTCACCAGGATAATATCACCGTCTGTAAAAAGATTAAAGAATACAAAGATTTGGTTGCAGAGATCAGCTGGTGCAGCTTAAACAAGCTGATGTAACATTATGACAATGAATTAAATGTTGGAATTAATTTTACAGCTGCATGCAGTAACTGAGAAATCCCTTTCTTGCTGTAAATGTATCTTTCTGTCATCAAACCAACAAAAAGATTATAGATTTAGTGGAATCCAGCGGTGAGGTTGTCGAACTGAAACTTCTCCCTTTGACCAAGCCTGTAGGAGAACTACTGTGGCCGTATGTAGATATAAACAGCTCATTCTAAGGTAACGAAAACACAAATGACTCTTTTTTTCAGATGATAATAAACCAATTAAAACATAGTTATGAATACTATACACCATTTCTGCCAATAGATGCCCCTAAATCCTACACACTGGACCTTTAAACCAGTCCTTTCATTTCAGCTGCTGGTGACTGGGGATGTGACAGTATAAAATTAATGTTAGATGATTATTGTCATAAAGATGTCAGTGAGCAATAAAATCCATCTGACAACATCTTGGATAATATTAAGAAATGATACTTGAATGAACCAAAGCTGATGAGCTCTTTTAAAGGTCGTCAAGTTTAACTCATTTTGAAAATCAGTTTGTATAATGTTAGTCACCTTCACATTTTCAAAACTATGTAACAGAATGTTAAAATACTTCAGAAACAAAATCTTTTAAATGAATTAAGACTCACACTGTATAGTGATGTTGACTGCATTGCTGAACTGTCCTGTTTCAGACTCACACCAGTAGACTCCACTCTGCCAGTAACGGTCCATGTTGCATCTGGATCCAGTCATGTTCCCCCAGGAAGAAGAAGAAGAAGAAGAAGAAGAAGAAGAAGAAGAAGAAGAACAGTGTCTCGGGTAGCCATCTACAGAAAACCTGCTCACTCTCCACTCAGTAGAGTTTCCCTCACAGCTCAGTGACACAGGCTCTCTGCTGAAGTGTTGCATTCTGTCAGGACTCACTGTGAGAGACGCTGCTGAATGAGAATCTAAAAACACATAAAAAGCAGACAAAGAATAAAGATTAAAAAAGGCCATACTGTCAACAATCAGTTGGTTTTATTGTTGGTTTTAATCTGTTTAAATGCTGGAGTATAGACACAAAGGATCACACTAATACAGATATATATTAAAATTTAAAATTACACCATGGAAACAATCCTTCAGGGTTAATGTGAATTTAATTATTTTGTTATTTTAGGCTACAACGCACTAATGCAAGTGTGCATACACTGAACTACAGCTCTCTGGATACATAACTTCCATGTTTATCCCAAAAAAAGAAGAGAGGAAGAAGAGAGCTAGCATAAAAAGTGAGTATATATAAGTGGTGCCTAAAATGCATTTTGGAGAGAATAGTTGGATGTCAAAGTACCACAGTAAAGCACCATTATGTAGAAGTAGCAACACCAGAACAGACAAATACCCCATTACAACTAAAAGACCTGTATTTAAAGGTTTGAGGGACAGAGAGAAGGAAACAAGCAAACATAAACTGAAGGAGGTAAGAAAATACATGAAAATAAAAACAGGAAAAAAGAGCAGAGGAAAGGGACGCTGAAGAAATGGATGCAAGGAAAGAAAATAGATGTATCTCAATGTTTTACAACAATACATATTGAAGAAAAACTTGGTTTATTTTCCAGATCTGTGCATTGGTGGCATTCTCAATTTACAATGTCTTTAGATAAAAAGTTAACACGGAAATAAATGTATAATATTAATATATTAATTGTAATAACAAGACATTTTTGGTTTGCAACTCAAATTGTAATGTCATAGTCTTATGAGTTTGAGTTATGGATTTCCAAAGTCAAAGATTTAAACAAATGATGTGTAAAAATGAAAAGGAGGTCATGAGATTCACTCATGTTAAATTATTAGTACAGTAGTTTGGAAAACTCAAACTAAACCTACCTCCAGACCAGACAAACTTAGGTTCACTGTAATAAGTATAATACACTGGATCTCCTCTTCCAGCTCTGCACACATATCCTGCTGTGTGTGTCTGTCCATCAACAATGTAGGAATCCTGTTTAGTCCCATTGATGCTGCCAGGTATCAGCTCATAGCTGTAGGAGTTGTCTGACAGTCTGGGAACAGCCTTATACCAGAAGAACCTCCATCCTGCAGATGGATGTTTAACACTGCAGTTCAGAGTTACTGAGGCTCCAGGACTCAGCCATAATGGAGACACAGTGAGGACAGGCTGAGGTTTATCTGTTGGAAAGTGATTTCACAGAATGAAAAACATGTTTTGATGTATTGTTGGTGGATTACATGCAGTGCTTGTATCATAATTTAAATGTTAAGGTGCACTGTCTTAAAATGCAGAGACCAAAATAACTTTTTTTTGCACAGTCAGCAAAATAAAGATGACGACTGATGACATGTGACTTACGATCAGATACTCTCAATGTGAAAGCATCACTCCACTCTGTTGAAGACTTTTCATGTTTCAGTGTGCCCATACACCTGTAGTCTCTGTTGTATGATGACATCACATTTCTAATCATGTTTTCCTTTTGTTTTTCAGGTCTGTATGAGCGGGGTGTCATCCATTCATACTCCCACTCAGCGTCTCCTCCATCTTCAATTTCACATGTAAGTGTGATCGTCTCCAGATAGTATATCTCAGGCCAGTTGGGTCGCAGGGTCACAACAGCTCTGTTTGTGACTGTTCATGATCAAGAGGCCACAAATATAAAAATTAGAAAAGATTAAACATCAAACTCATTTTAGTGTTAGTCTTAATCCTCATTCAAAAATACACAGTGTATTATTTATTGCATTTTATATTCCATATCATATTACCGACTGGATCACTGTACTCTGTGTAGTAAAGTGGATCTCCTCTTCCTCCTCTGCACCAGTAGAGTCCTCCCTGTGAGACACTGATTGTTTCATTTGAGAGGAAGACAACATCTTGTGTGGTCAGAGGTTCAGAGGTTTTATTGCCTCTGTACCAGAAGTATTTCCAACATGATGATGATGATGATGATGATGATGATGATGGGCTCACAGAGCAGGTCAGCATCACACTGCCCCCTGATGGAAAGTGTCTGCTCAGTCTGGCCTTTGGTTGTGCTGTTTAATTTAGACAAAGACATAAAAGTGGTCATTATTTCCCTGTGAATCAGTCCAGTTTGAAAGATAATTAAAATGAATAATATAATCTCATCCAGCATTCTTGGTGGTGCTACAACTTAGTGTAGAAAATACAGAAAATAGTAAATCACTTTTAAATCAGTAATATATTATCAAGGTATCATAAACTGATGGAAATCAGTTGCAACAATGCTTCTGTTAAACATTTATTAACCACTGAAGCTGTTAACATGGATTAAATTGAGCACAAACACTTCTAAGAATGAATGACAATTTAAACACAGCTTTCTCTTTTTCCCTTTGTTAAGTGTCCACTGTGTCTGAGATAATGCAGAGAAATCATCACTCCACTTCACTCTGGAAATGCTAAAGTACATGCCTGCTGCTCTTCATCGCAAAATGCCCTTAAATTTTGAGACTCTAGTATGAAAACTACTTACGTTCCATTTTGAGTTTTACTGGTTCAGATTCTTCGTCCTCAAATTTACACATGTAAGAGCTCCCATTTGAAATGACTTGAACTGTGTTTTCTGAAGACATCGCTGACTGATGGTTTGTGTCTCTTTCAATAGGTGATCCGTCTTTGTAGAAAACAGCATTCTTCTCCTTTGTCTGAGTACGATGTCGACAGCGCAGGGTCACTGATTCTCCTTCAAACACAGTGGACGCAGGACTTTCCAGGATCACATCTTTGTCTGTGGAACACAGGTCAGTAGGTGTTTCATTAAATCATCTCAACAAATGAACATATCAGTCATATGAAGATCTTGTTTGAGTCGTAGGGGACAAATTCTTGACCATCCCTGTGGATTGTGTAATAACAGTTAGAGTCTTTTTCTCAATCTAAAACTTTTTAAACAAGATTAACAACATTCATACATTATATATTGGCACTTTGCCAAACAGGGTGATCATATCAACATGGCTGATAAACATAAATGAATACATAAAGTAATGCTTGTAGTGAACTTGGTCATGGTGGTAAAATGTATCACTTACCTGATACAGTTAGAGAAACTTTATTACTTTCTTTTCTTGAATATGCTGAGCGCTTGTGATCACCAATGCACTGGTATTCACCACTGTCGTCTGTCGACAGAGATTGTGATGTATATCTCTTATCGGGGTTGAAGGGGAGAAATTCTTGATGATCCCTCTTGATTTTGTAATACCAGTCGGTGTCTTCTTCTTCCCTCATGTCACATATGAAGGTAACAGACTCTCCGGTAAATAAAGTGGACCAGTTTGGTTCAATGGTCAGCACAGCATCTATAAAACCAACATAAACATTGTGTTTTCTTTATTGTATTAATTAAACACTGCCGAAACAGAACACACAGAAAATGGTGAAAAGTGATGCAGTTGTTGAATATTTGTCTCGAGTGAATATATAAACAAGAAGAAGTATAAATACCTTGAGCATGTCCACAGTAGAGGAGTAAATTCAGTGCTGAGATAAAAATTGGAACTTCATCAGACATTATCAAACTTACAGGAATGATCAATTAATAACCTCAGACATTTTTTTCATTCATGGCGACAATTCTTTCAAAGTCACTGATGTACTCACAGAAAACCCCCAGCACACAGAGCAGAGTGTGCCCCATCTTCACACTCACGACTGTTACTCTGCCTCTGAGAAATGCTTCTACGCTGTGTAAAGAAAAAGCTCAGAACGTGTGAATCATATGATGAAAGATCAGAAACTGAATAAACAGAAGATGCATTAAATATTAATACTGGACAGAAAGTTTTCTCTCACTTCTTCTTTTTCGCGGTCTGTACTTCCTTCCCTTTTACACGGAGCTTACACAACCAGACTGGTTTGACCACAGCATGTTTTAATGATAGTTTTTGTTGGACTTTATTTGTGGTGACCCACACAAGACAATTTACAAATGTGTGCCATGAGCCACAAATACTTCACTATCCACAAACATGTCTGTTTATATTTGTGTTGTGAAAAGTCATATCCACAAAAATACAGATTGATTTGCAAATACACAGAACTTACTACAGTTTCACCACAGTAAATACACATGAAGTCATATTTATGCATTTGTGGATCCATTTTTACATGTGAGACTGGTTTTGAACATTTGTGGATTGCTTCCTGTCGGTGTGTGGGCCGTGTGACACAGCAGATCTGTAAGAAAATATCAGTGTGAGGTGCAGTTACTCAATACATAGGCAAGTGGCGAAACACATGAAAGGCTACCTCTGGATTGCTTCTCTGATAATGTGAGCCATTTCATGAGACACACTACTTGTGTTTATTCATGGCTAACATAACTAATGCTTAGTATGCTTTTATTCTGAGATTGATCGGGGCAGCATTCAGTCAAAAATGGTGGCTGCGCTGTACATGTGTCCTCTTGTGGCTGTTAATTATGAATAACATCTGTGTCATCTCTTATCACTGTAATCTGTTTGGTCCAGTGACGGTAACAGCTGATGGTGCTGATGAGAAGACGGGAAGAAAGAATCATGTAGCAGAGACACACCAGTGACATCATCTCTTTCAAAGCATTTAACCTTGATGTTACTGTCACGAGGATAGTGATCATTTTCATTATCAGGCCAACTGTCAAGAACGTTAACTGATCACCTGACAGAGGTAAATGTAGGCTACTAAAGGGACTGATAATTCCATCTGTCGTGTAAATTACTAATTATTGTGACATAAATCAATACATGCCCTATATCACTCCTAGCCATGCCTTACACAGCACTGCACCCACCCCAAAACAGTTACAGTTAGCTAACACCTCAGTTTGACCCCCTAAGCATATTCAATCAGTGTATCAACAAAGTAGTGGTGGTGGAAATGAACAAAGTACATTACGACTTAGGTCCTGTACTTAAGTATCATTTTGATGTACTTGTACTTTACTTGAGAATAACTCGTTCATCAAGATGTGGGATTTAAGTGTGCTTTAAGATCTTGCAAACTAAGTTTTCTCACAGTGTTTGAGACTGTGAAATTGATTGCAACCATCCTCTTCCTCATTTCTGTGTAAACCAACACCACCAGAGATAGTTGCAGTCAACACCACAGAGACAGCAGATTTTATTGCTATGTTTATAATCATATGCATTTTACCTTCCAGGTTAACTACATGATATTTTAAATGCACAGCTACCCTGAAGACAATATTTCTAAAGTAATCTGTTGCTGTGTGCAGAACGTTGTGGTGTTAATGGGATGATGTCGTTGTCTAAATGTGTATGCAGCAACACATTTTGTAGGTGTGAAAAGGAAGTGAAGGAGGGTTTAATGACCTCATACTGACAGGCAGTGCTTTGGTCGGCTTTTTCTCCGGCTCTAGTTGGAGACATAACATTTTAAAAAAGCAACATTTGGTGATTGATGTTTTATTTTATGATGTTTATGGCAAAGTCAAAGAAAACAATGTTTAAATTCTGGACAGAGTGCCCAGGAGACAATTTATATTTAATTAATGTTCATTTAGTCACTTCCTGTGTGTGTGTGTGTGTGTGTGTGTGTGTGTGTGTGTGTGTGTGTGGGTGGGTGACGTATTTCATCTGAACGATGCATCACAGACTCTACTGGTGCAAAAGTTCATTTTTACTATCATGTCATATTCTATTTATGTTTACATGCGGCCCTTCTTTTAACATCCTTCTCTGAGCTTTATTGTGACAACTATCTGATCTCAGCTGTTGAGACAGTTGTATTTTCTGATTAAATCAGCATTGCATTGTACCCTGTGGTTTTTGTTTGTTTATTTCTTAATGGTTATAAACAATCTTCCAAAATATGAAATCATCCTGATCTATAAGTATTTTTACACCCACAACTCTGATAATTCTGTAAATAGTAGCTCTCTGTGTAGAAACAGAACACTCAACTATTATAGATATTAAAAAATGCAAAATGCCCAACAATTATCTGTTATAATTATGAACTACTTAGTGCAATACTAGTGTTGTCTAAAATGCTGTGACCGTGTGACGTCCCTGCATGCTACCTGCAGAGGTTGGGCAGGAAGTGTGGGACTGTCAACATATGTGGTCAAACCCAAAGTGTTGTGAGGCCTCAGAAAAAGAAGATGTGGGAAAGGTCTGGTTTCATGTATTATTTATACATATTAGGTATGTAAGTTCTCTTTTCTTTTGTCCAGCTCCAGTGTCAGTCCTTCTGTTTCTTGTTGAGTGCAGAGTGTCAGTGCTCGATGTGAGGATGGGGCTGACTTTGTTCTGCGTGCTGTTGTTATTCTGTGAGTACATAAGTGACTTTATTTGTTTGACAGATACAGATTAAGGAACATGTAGTGAGAGGAACAGAGTATCATATGTTTGTCAAGCTCCAGTTGTTTTTAAATGTTATTGTTTATTATGTATTTGACAGTTCAGCCAGTTTATAATGTCTTAAGTATCAATCTTTATTACAGTGCTGAATACACTCCTCGACTGTGGACACAGTGAAGGTGACTGAACAATTTTCTGTCTTTTCTGTTTTGGGGTTTATTCACTATTTATTCACTATATTTGATCAATATATGTATCATTTCATGTAGCAGTTATGATGTGACTAAAGCAGTGATTAAGAGTGTGTCATTACATGTTCCTCAAACACTTTTTTAGGGTTTGAATGTTTGACAGTATCTGTTATATGTTTGCGTGTGATTCCAGACGCTGAGCTGATCGTTGAACCCAACTCATCCTATTTATTTAGTGGAGAGTCTGTTACCTTCATATGTGACATGAGAGAAGGAACAGACACTGACTGGCTTTACACATTCAACAGGAACGGTCGACCAGTTGTCTCCTTCAATACAGACAACTGGTACTCGCTTAACCTGACGGCTGACTTGAGCGGTGATTATCAGTGCACTGGTCGTCACAAGGTGTCAACAAAGTTGACCAAACAGAGTAACAATGTCTCTCTGTCTGTATCAGGTAAGATATCTGATTTGTTGCCACTACCACCTGTAGCACAGCCATGTTGAGATAATCAGTGAACTATCACAGAGACATAATCAAGAGGAATAAAGTAGCAGCCAAAAAACATGAGGCACGAACACAGCGCATCATGTGGGCAGGGTTTAACCTGCTACACAGACTCCATGTTTGCAGCATGTAGTTGCTGCAGTTTACTGTGTGTGTATTGAGTTTTGTTGAGTAATAATGCAGTTTGATATGCAGGGTTTGGAGGTGTATGTGATATTACTGAAATAATTAACTGGATCATTTTAACAACAGGATGCATTGATTTGATCGCTTATTTGAATGTAAAGGTTGCTGGGTTGCTTTGCATTGCCTCTGGTACAATCAGGTATTCATTAGAATCCGTTTTAAACAGACTGAACTCATTTTTTACACAATTCACCTGTTGGAGGGACGCAGAGCCACGCGTGGAGAAGAAAAATAGACTAGCTGCATTAAAACACAGAACTGCAGAGAACAGCAAGCTCAGTGTAGCAGCTTCAGTTGATTATAATGGACGTGCTCTGCTGTGGGCATGATGCAGCATATGTGTTGCTCTGCAGCTGTGTCCCATGTATTTTGGCCATAAGAGAAAAGAATCTGCATGTTTTACAATTGACTTTTGATACATGTGGGTGGCATGGTGGCACAGTGCTTAGCATTGCCCACCCTGGGCCAAAGCAAGAGCAAAAAAAACAACCAAACAAACAAAAAAACTCTCAAGCAAAAAGCAAATAAGAGTTAATTACTGATGTAGTCTGCACGAAGGTGTACAGATGAGGGAAATAAACACTCAATCGATTACAGTTCATCCAGATAACAAGGCAAGGCTGCACTGAAGTAAACACTGGAGAATACTCTCTTAAAGGAAGAGAGAAATTCCCTCCAGACAGTGACGAGGCAGAAAAGACTGAAGAAATGGTTTGTTATTTTATACTTTGTTGGATGCACAAAGTCAAAGTCAAATTTATTTGTATAGAACAATTCATATGACAAGCATAAATCAATGTGCTTAAAATGAACACAACATACATATGAAATCATATAACAACAAGGAAATTACATAGTAAAAGAGCATGTAGAAACCTGATATTAACAACAATACAAAAATAATGGTACAGCTGGTTTAAACCACACAAACGTCTAAGTAAAAGCTTGTGAAAAAAGATGTGTTTTTAACCTGTGTTTACAAGTGGATATTGGTGCAATAGACCTGAGGTCATGTGGTAAGGAATTCCAAAGAACTGGACCATAGTGACTAAAGGCACCATGAGCTGATCTAGAATATATTCTTGGAATAGTGAGAAGGTCTCTACTTCCAGATCTCAGGAATCTATCTGGCGTGTACTCAGCCAGCATGTCATTGATATGAGGTGGAGCTACACCATTCATAGCTTTAAAAACAACAAGCAAAATCTTAAAATCAATTATTTGCTTTACAGGAAGCCAGTGAAGAGAAATTAAAATGGGAGTGATGTGCTCATATTTTTTTGTCCTGGTTATCACTCTAGCTGCAGCATTCTGAACAAGCTGCAGGCTGTAAAGTGCCTGTTTTGTTATTCCTGTGAAAAGTCCATTACAGTAGTCTTGCCTGCTAGAAATAAACATTTCAGCATCTGAGAGGGATATAAATGATCTAACTTTAGTTATGTTTCTAAGATGATAGAATGCAGTCTTGAACATGGAGGAAATATGCTTCTGAAAATTAAGATCAGTGTCAATAATAACGCCTAGATTCTTAACATGCCCTCTAGGTTTCACAGAAAGAGGAGTCAGTAGGGAACTAATCTGCTGCTTTAAAGCTTTTGGACCAACGAGAAGAATTTCAGTTTTGTCATCATTAAATTGTAAGAAATTTTTGGTCATCCAGCACCTAACATCATTAATGCACTGGATGAGGTCATTTACAGGACTAAGATGCTTAGCAGAGACAGATATGTATAGCTGGGTGTCGTCGGCATAGGAATGATATGATACATTGTATTGACGGATTATGAAACCAAGTGGGAGCATGTAGTTAAAAAGAAGAGGGCCAAAGATAGACCCTTGAGGCACTCCATATAAAACACTGACCTCATCTGAAAGACAATCTCATGATGAAGTGCAGCGCTTTGTGACACACTGAGTCAAGAGGCTCAAAGGTGGAGGAAGAAGCATGCATATATACAATATCACCATAATCAGGAGCAGACGTGACTGTAGATTAAACAATGGTCTTTCAACTAGCAGGAGAAAAACAAGATTTGTTTCTATACAAAAATCCAATTTTGACCTTCAGTTTTCTTGATAGGTGTTCCACGTGGGTTTAATAAGTGAGTCTGGTATCCAGCCAGAGTCCCAAAGATTTTTAACAATTTCAATTGCAGAACCCTGAAGGGTTTGGATATGGACAGTAGGCTGGATATTCTTGAGTAACCTAGAGCAGTGGTTCCCAACCTTTTTTCCTTAAAGGAAATGGCCACTTTAGGAGGATAACAGCTCGCTGGAATAACAGCTACACTTGAAGTACATGGAGCCCACATTTTGAAAATGTAATAAAACTCCACTGATGCATTTCAAAAACGTCAGAATGGCTCGTCCGTCATAATCCAAGTGCCCTGATGCCGTGGCAGCCTGTTATCCTCCGATACCCTGAACGAGTTTTGTGGATTAAAAAACTACACTGGTCTTCTTGTTGGCATGAGGGTCAGTAAGTACTGTCTGTATTTTCAAAGTGGCCATTTCCTTTAAGAGACCCCTTTTCTGTCATTGAGTTAAACACTACTGCAGTTCTTCATGTTGTCATCCATTCTGCTGGTTTTGTTGATGCAGATCTCTCTATTGATCTGGATGAAAACCAAAAGGAAAAACAAGGTTAGGGTTATTTAAGAATTGAGGGTGCTCAATGACATTTAACTCCCATTTCTAACCCATTTAACTATCTGTATCTGTAAAATAAATCACTATAGTGACTTATCCCAAAATGCACATTGTGTTAATGCTGTATTATTACCAAGAGCTTTTCCTGGTTTGACCTCTGAATAAACAGTTTTATCTGCCGCTACAGGACGTGATTTTCCTATGAATGTTTTGCATTAAAAAGTAACGCCCCAGTAGACAATCATAATGATATGTACACTGTCTTCTTTAGCAATGCATCCATACATGATCTAAAATAATCTTAGTGTACACAACAGAACACAACAGGAAATATGATACAAGTTACGGTGTTAGTAGAAATAGGTCGGTGTTTCTAAAATTGGAGTATGGGTACCCCTAGGGGTACTTTGGAGTACTGCAGGGGGTACATGAGATTTTTGAAATACAAAAAAGTGAATATAGTGAATTTTAGTTTAATACAAAAATGTAATTATAATATTGATAGACCACGTTTTATATATATATTCAGTTATATTTTATATAGCTATATATTTTATATTGACAGCACAGGAGATACATGGGCCAAAAAGGTCCACACGCTGAGATCAATGCGAAGATAGTCTATTTATGTAAGACATCTTTGCACAAGAAAAGATGCTAAACATGCAACAAAATTATAAAGAGCAGCAAATGTTTCAGTCCTTGACTATAATCAGAGCTACTGACATGAGTGCCTCACAGAACAGATGTAGACACAGACAGATTCCTACCAGGTGTAGTAAGTCAGCTGGTGTCACTCATTAGATGAGATCAACTCTGAAGTGCAGAAGCATGACTACCAAATCACAATGACCTGTCATATGAGTACTACACTACTCACAGCATCCTCAAACACCAATATATGATAACAGAACATAAGAATATACAATATACACTAAACACAACCATACACAGGATGATAGAAAAGAAAGGACAGAACATGACCAAGCATGTCCAACAAGGCCATGTTGACACATGCAGCTCTGGAGAGGAACAAGAAACCTAGAAAAATAAGACGAATTGCGTGTTTGATTCAGACCTAAAAACTGTTCAGTTTTGTGAAGAAAGATCCATCTACTTTTACACTGAAGACGTTTTGTTTCCAGATCTGTATGTCTGCAGCGAGGGTTAACTACATCACTGCCACAGAAACTGAATGCAGTGGCTGGATGTTTGGCCTCCTGGAGGTGAACACCTTTGAGCACCTTATTTTGTACACAGACGTCTTATATAAATAGACTGTTTTTGAATTGATCTCAGCCTGTGGAGATTTTTGTGGCTTTGTGGCATGTTCACATTTACGTTTGTCCACTGTGTGTTTCCACCAAAAATGTTTTGCTCTGGTCAGGGGATACTCAGCTGAATAACTATTTCAAAGGGTGTACATTATTGAAAAACCTTTCAGAAACCACTGGAATAGGTCATAATGATGGCTTCGTGAACTTAATGAATGAAAAATTGTCATGATTTTAGAATATGTAAACAGTAAATCAATGAAAATAAGAGAAGAAAATAAGAAATTACAGACACCATTTTCCAACACTGAAGCATTTTTGACTTGGATGACAAACTGTGTCTAAGAAAATCCAGTAACAGCTGCAGGTGGACGTTTTACTTACCTTTGTCTCTCTTGGCTTTACTGTGAAAGTTCACCTGGGCATACATCACATTGTCGTCTGAAACAGAAGCCACATTTCAGGTTTTATTTGTACAACAGTTATAAACAAATGGATGGATTGATAAGCAGAATTAAAGCAATTAAATGTAATGTGTCCTGATGTGTTTCCCATGACTGCACAGTAGGGCCAGGTATTACAGGAATAAATGGAAAAGTAAATGACATACAATTTACATAAAATCTGAAAGCTCTTTATGTACTGTAGGATTTGACCACTGCAGACACTGCTGACATACCTAGTGGTATGAAGTGGTATGAAAAGATTACACTGTGGCAGTACCCAATAAAAAGTTAGAGTGAATCTGTTGTACTTCACTGTACCTGTAGCTGATCTTATCTTCACATCTGAGTAAACTGCGTTCTCCTCTGGCTTCTCTTTTTTGTTCCCTGTTAAAAGGACCAGATGAATGCATGAAAAGACAACTTCCTGTATGTTTTTTTTTTTTTTTAATGTATGAAAAGCGCTATATAAATAAAGTTTGATTTGAAATAAAGTTTGATTTGGTTATTTAGGTACTGCTGACCTACAAAAGCATCTCTAGTGTTTAATGTAATTGTCAATACATAAAATAAAGTACTCACCCTTTTTAGTGATGTTTTTGAGCTCAACCACAGAATATGTGACATCGTTGGATTCACCTGAAACATAGATATTTGTTTAAACTTAAGGGATTGTCAATAAATCACCTGATCATCTTATTCTAGTATATCTAACTGCTCAGTGTCAAACATAAAGTCTATAATTTACCATGTTCAGGTTCTTCAAAGCCTTTGATTGATTCATAGAGAACAGCATACTAAAACCTTTAATCACATTATACTGTATTCTATATAATTCCAAAACACAGTGATGGCCAAATGAGCCCTCTTGAACCACTGTCTTTATTTTCTGAAGTCACTAGATGCCGCTGTCTGTTCAACAAAGGTTTGAAAGCACACTGCATTGCCTGTCCTTCAGCCTTTATCTTTAAACCAAGACCGCCATCCGGTGGGGTCAGAAAATAAAGAAATTGGTTCATGAGGCTTCATTTGGCCATCACTACCAAAACAGATAATCACATGTGAAATACTAGTCTTAGAGTTGATGATAAATCATAAAATTAATCAGGATTAAGGCTGACCATGGAGAGGAGGAGCATATTCTTTGAGCTGAGTTTCATCCTGGTTGATCATGTGGTCTGTAGCAGGGCCCCGACTGCTGCTCTGAGACCTGGTGGGCCCAAACATGAAGTAAATACAGTGACTTTAAAAAGCGTATGCACTGTGCTACTGTCATATTCAGAATGAGAGAAGAGAGTGTTGGACCGACCTCATAAAGCATGAATCTGTGGAGGAAAAAGACATCTGTTGTTACATTGTTTTGTATGGTGAATTGTTAGACTGTTACTACAGTACATGTAATCACATCAGAGTCAGTCTAACATCAGAAGTAAAAGTTCTCACCTTTTGACTTTCTGTAGAGATACAGAAACAGCAGCAGGAGAAGAATCAGTAAAACTCCACAAACCGGCCCAACAATCAACAGCACAGGAAATGAAGAGCTTCCTTCAAGCCTGGGCGCTGCTAAAATAAATAACCTATATTAATATTTACTCATATAACACTTTGATCAAATAGAGTTCCCAAAGTGCTTTACATAAACACAGAGTCAAAGTCCAGTTAAGCCAAAGTAATAAAACTCCAAGAGTAAGAAAACAATAACTGATATCCAAAAATGTATAAGAACATACATCAGACTGTTCTCACAAACTGCTTGTACATTTTCCTACGAAAAGTAATGCACCCAAATTTGTTCATATCCCACCATGTTTTGGAAATGCTGCAATAACGTGACCAGTGCACTGACAGCAGTTAACAAGGAGGCAGTCCCAAGCACGCTTGTAAGGAGGCAGATTGGAGTGGTGGAGGGGTCACAAAAAACAGACATTTACCTGTTAATTTCCCATGGTGTCACATGTGTACTTTGAATGAATTTTGAGGTCTTTCAAGGTACGTCTTCACCATATTTGATCCTAAACCTAACCACTGTAACTTCTACTGGCTAAACCTAACATCCCAAACTTAATGTTAACAACGTAACTGTGCGTTAAGGACGCAACATAATAAGCGGGGCGCTAATTCATAGGAACCATACGAACAGTTATATGAGAATATGTTGCACACATAGACACTAACATACACAAATAATCTAAGCATGTATACAAAAATACATTTGTGCAATGATCAATGCACAAGTAGAAAACCACATACACTAAAATACACGTTTATAAACCCCTGATCAGATACCATGCACATTTAGATTAACACACAAACACATACAGTATCATTATGAATTCTAAACCTTTCACAGCTATTCATGTATTTACTTTGCATTTTTAATGTATAAAACAGTTTCTCTTTCACAAACAGTCAATCTAATTCTATATTGGACAGTATCACAGTTTACAAAGAATGCTGAAGAAACTGTTTGAATCATACTCACATTTTACTGACATCCAACTCTCTGGTGACGTCAAACTCTGCAAACCTTGTGGTGAATCTTTTCCTTTACATTTATAAAAGCCTTCATCAGACTTTGACACTGCAGAGATAGTCAGCTCCCCTCCAGTAACATTTTGGATGAGTTTGTCATTTTTGTAGAAATCCACATTATAAGGAACTTTTTCTGTCCTCAATTTGCAGCCAAGAGTGACAGAATCTCCCTCAGTAACAGGATGGACAGGGCTCACCAGGATAATATCACCGTCTGTAAAAAGATTAAAGAATACAAAGATTTGGTTGCAGAGATCAGCTGGTGCAGATTAAACAAGCTGATGTAACATTATGAAAATAAATGTCTGAATTAATTTTACAGCTGCATACAGTAACTGAGAAATCCCTTTCTTACTGTAAATGTATCTTTCTGTCATCAAACCAACAAAAAGATTATAGTAATTGTTTCAGTGTTGCTCACTGATGTACTGTAATACTGTAATTTCAGTGCAGATCACCCTTAAAGGTCTGGTGTGTAGGATTTAGTGGAATCCAGCGGTGAGGTTATCAGACTGAAACTTCTCCCTTTGACCAAGCCTGTAGGAGAACTACTGTGGCCGTATGTAGATATTAACACCTCATTCTAAGGTAACGAAAACACAATGACTCTTTTTTCAGATGATAATAAACCAATTAAAACATAGTTATGAATACTATACACCATTTCTGCCAATAGATGCCCCTAAATCCTACACACTGGACCTTTAAACCAGTCCTTTCATTTCAGCTGCTGGTGACTGGGGATGTGACAGTATAAAATTAATCGTAGATGATTATTGTCATAAAGGTGTCAATGAGCAATAAAATCCATCTGACAATATCTTGGAAAATATTAAGAAATGATACTTGAATGAACTAAAGCTGATGAGCTCTTTTAAAGGTCGTCAAGTTTCACTCATTTTGAAAATCAGTTTGTATAATGTTAGTCACCTTCACATTTTCAAAACGATGTAACAGAATGTTAAAATACTTCAGAAACAAAATCTTTTAAATGAATTAAGACTCACACTGTATAGTGATGTTGACTGCATTGCTGAACTGTCCTGTTTCAGACTCACACCAGTAGACTCCACTCTGCCAGTAACGGTCCATGTTGCATCTGGATCCAGTCATGTTCCCCCAGGAAGAAGAAGAAGAAGAAGAAGAAGAAGAAGAAGAAGAAGAAGAACAGTGTCTCGGGTAGCCATCCACAGAAAACCTGCTCACTCTCCACTCAGTAGAGTTTCCCTCACAGCTCAGTGACACAGGCTCTCTGCTGAAGTGTTGCATTCTGTCAGGACTCACTGTGAGAGACGCTGCTGAATGAGAATCTAAAAACACATAAAAAGCAGACAAAGAATAAAGATTAAAAAAGGCCATACTGTCAACAATCAGTTGGTTTTATTGTTGGTTTTAATCTGTTTAAATGCTGGAGTATAGACACAAAGGATCACACTAATACAGATATATATTAAAATTTAAAATTACACCATGGAAACAATCCTTCAGGGTTAATGTGAATTTAATTATTTTGTTATTTTAGGCTACAACGCACTAATGCAAGTGTGCATACACTGAACTACAGCTCTCTGGATACATAACTTCCATGTTTATCCCAAAAAAAGAAGAGAGGAAGAAGAGAGCTAGCATAAAAAGTGAGTATATATAAGTGGTGCCTAAAATGCATTTTGGAGAGAATAGTTGGATGTCAAAGTACCACAGTAAAGCACCATTATGTAGAAGTAGCAACACCAGAACAGACAAATACCCCATTACAACTAAAAGACCTGTATTTAAAGGTTTGAGGGACAGAGAGAAGGAAACAAGCAAACATAAACTGAAGGAGGTAAGAAAATACATGAAAATAAAAACAGGAAAAAAGAGCAGAGGAAAGGGACGCTGAAGAAATGAATTCAAGGAAAGAAAATAGATGTATCTCAATGTTTTACAACAATACATATTGAAGAAAAACTTGGTTTATTTTCCAGATCTGTGCATTGGTGGCATTCTCAATTTACAATGTCTTTAGATAAAAAGTTAACACGGAAATAAATGTATAATATTAATATATTAATTGTAATAACAAGACATTTTTGGTTTGCAACTCAAATTGTAATGTCATAGTCTTATGAGTTTGAGTTATGGATTTCCAAAGTCAAAGATTTAAACAAATGATGTGTAAAAATGAAAAGGAGGTCATGAGATTCACTCATGTTAAATTATTAGTACAGTAGTTTGGAAAACTCAAACTAAACCTACCTCCAGACCAGACAAACTTAGGTTCACTGTAATGAGTATAATACACTGGATCTCCTCTTCCAGCTCTGCACACATATCCTGCTGTGTGTGTCTGTCCATCAACAATGTAGGAATCCTGTTTAGTCCCATTGATGCTGCCAGGTATCAGCTCATAGCTGTAGGAGTTGTCTGACAGTCTGGGAACAGCCTTATACCAGAAGAACCTCCATCCTGCAGATGGATGTTTAACACTGCAGTTCAGAGTTACTGAGGCTCCAGGACTCAGCCATAATGGAGACACAGTGAGGACAGGCTGAGGTTTATCTGTTGGAAAGTTATTTCACAGAATGAAAAACATGTTTTGATGTATTGTTGGTGGATTACATGCAGTGCTTGTATCATAATTTAAATGTTAAGGTGCACTGTCTTAAAATGCAGAGACCAAAATAACTTTTTTTTGCACAGTCAGCAAAATAAAGATGACGACTGATGACATGTGACTTACGATCAGATACTCTCAATGTGAAAGCATCACTCCACTCTGTTGAAGACTTTTCATGTTTCAGTGTGCCCATACACCTGTAGTCTCTGTTGTATGATGACATCACATTTCTAATCATGTTTTCCTTTTGTTTTTCAGGTCTGTATGAGCGGGGTGTCATCCACTCATACTCCCACTCAGCGTCTCCTCCATCTTCAATTTCACATGTAAGTGTGATCGTCTCCAGATAGTATATCTCAGGCCAGTTGGGTCGCAGGGTCACAACAGCTCTGTTTGTGACTGTTCATGATCAAGAGGCCACAAATATAAAAATTAGAAAAGATTAAACATCAAACTCATTTTAGTGTTAGTCTTAATCCTCATTCAAAAATACACAGTGTATTATTTATTGCATTTTATATTCCATATCATATTACCGACTGCATCACTGTACTCTGTGTAGTAAAGTGGATCTCCTCTTCCTCCTCTGCACCAGTAGAGTCCTCCCTGTGAGACACTGATTGTGTCATTTGAGAGGAAGACAACATCTTGTGTGGTCAGAGGTTCAGAGGTTTTCTTGCCTCTGTACCAGAAGTATTTCCAACCAGATGATGATGATGATGATGATGATGATGGGCTCACAGAGCAGGTCAGCATCACACTGCCCCCTGATGGAAAGTGTCTGCTCAGTCTGGCCTTTGGTTGTGCTGTTTAATTTAGACAAAGACATAAAAGTGGTCATTATTTCCCTGTGAATCAGTCCAGTTTGAAAGATAATGAAAATGAATAATATAATCTCATCCAGCATTCTTGGTGGTGCTACAACTTAGTGTAGAAAATACAGAAAATAGTAAATCACTTAAATCAGTGTTTATTATTAAAGTATCGTAAACTGATGGAAATCAGTTGCAACAATGCTTCTGTTAAACATTTATTAACCACTAAAGTTGTTGCTTAAATTAACCTAAAGTGGATTAAAGTGAGCACAAACACACTTCTAAGAATGAACGACAATTTAAACACAGCTTTCTCTTTTTCCCTTTGTTAAGTGTCCACTGTGTCTGAGATAATGCAGAGAAATCATCACTCCACTTCACTCTGGAAATGCTAAAGTACATGCCTGCTGCTCTTTATCGCAAAATGCCCTTAAATTTTGAGACTCTAGTATGAAAACTACTTACGTTCCATTTTGAGTTTTACTGGTTCAGATTCTTCGTCCTCAAATTTACACATGTAAGAGCTCCCATCTGAAATGACTTGAACTGTGTTTTCTGAAGACATCGCTGACTGATGGTTTGTGTCTCTTTCAATAGGTGATCCGTCTTTGTAGAAAACAGCATTCTTCTCCTTTGTCTGAGTACGATGTCGACAGCGCAGGGTCACTGATTCTCCTTCAAACACAGTGGACGCAGGACTTTCCAGGATCACATCTTTGTCTGTGGAACACAGGTCAGTAGGTGTTTCATTAAATCATCTCAACAAATGAACATATCAGTCATATGAAGATCTTGTTTGAGTCGTAGGGGACAAATTCTTGACCATCCCTGTGGATTGTGTAATAACAGTTAGAGTCTTTTTCTCAATCTAAAACTTTTTAAACAAGATTAACAACATTCATACATTATATATTGGCACTTTGCCAAACAGGGTGATCATATCAACATGGCTGATAAATATAAATGAATAGTTAAATAAATGCTTAAAGTGAACTTGGTCATGGTGGTAAAATGTATCACTTACCTGATACAGTTAGAGAGACTTTATTACTTTCTTTTCTTGAATATGCTGAGCGCTTGTGATCACCAATGCACTGGTATTCACCACTGTCGTCTGTCGACAGAGATTGTGATGTATATCTCTTATCTGAGCTGTAGGGTAGAAATCCTTGACCATCCCTGTAGATTACGTAATACCAGTCGGTGTCTTTTCCCACCCTCATGTCACATATGAAGGTAACAGACTCTCCGGTAAATAAAGTGGACCAGTTTGGTTCAATGGTCAGCACAGCATCTATAAAACCAACATAAACATTGTGTTTTCTTTATTGTATTAATTAAACACTGCCGAAACAGAACACACAGAAAATGGTGAAAAGTGATGCAGTTGTTGAATATTTGTCTCGAGTGAATATATAAACAAGAAGAAGTATAATTACCTTGAGCATGTCCACAGTAGAGGAGTAAATTCAGTGCTGAGATAAAAATTGGAACTTCATCAGACATGATCAAACTTACAGGAATGATCATTTCTTTCATTAATGGCAACAATTCTTTCAAAGTCACTGATGTACTCACAGAAAACCCCCAGCACACAGAGCAGAGTGTGCCCCATCTTCACACTCACGACTGTTACTCTGCCTCTGAGAAATGCTTCTACGCTGTGTAAAGAAAAAGCTCAGAACGTGTGAATCATATGATGAAAGATCAGAAACTGTGGGATGACAGAAGATGCATTACACATAAATACTGGACAGGAAGTTTTCTCTCACTTCTTCCTCTGAATCATTGCATTCTGTACTTCCTTCCCTTTTACACGAAGCTCACCCAACCAGACTGGTTTGACCACGGCATATTTTAATGTTAGTTTTTGTTGGACTTTATTTGTTGTGACCCACACAAGACAATCTACTAATCGATTTGCAAATACACAGAACTTACTCTGTGGACATGTACTTTAATTTCACAGAAAAATGTTACAGGTTTTATGAGGTTTCACATTCAGTGAATGTAGAGTCTGTAGGCAAACCCTGGAGATCTTGCCTCTGGAAGAAGAGCGGAAGAGCCCTTGTTTCCGTATGTGGTCCGCGTGATATTGATCAGTCACGTTTGAGCCGGGTGCAGTTGTTGCCAGGTTAAACGGTCCATGCGGTGAACTAACGAGGCGGAACATAATTGGCGTCACTGCAAACTCTGAATCCATCGCAATGGTTCAGCATATTTACTTATATATAAACGGAAGTCGGAAATGGAAATTCGCCTCCTCCGCCCAAATCAAACCGGAATGCCAAAAAACCGGGGTTCTGCCCCAGAGGCTGTATCGCCATCTGCTGAAAGTCAGACGGCGATACAGCCAATGGGTTCCAAGAATGTGGCTAACATAACTAATGCTTAGTATGCTTTTATTTTGATTGATTGATCGGGGCAGCGTTCAGTCAAAAATGGTGGCTGCGCTGTAAGTGCTCCCTCTTGTGGCTGTCAATTATCAGTGTCATCTCTTGTCATTGTAACCTGTTTGATCCAGTGGCGGTAACAGCTGATGGTGCTGATGAGAAGACGGGAAGAAAGAATCATGTAGCAGAGACACACCAGTGACATCATCTCTTTCAAAGCATTTAACCTTGATGTTACTGTCACGAGGATAGTGATCATTTTCATTATCAGGCCAACTGTCAAGAACGTTAACTGATCACCTGACAGAGGTAAATGTAGGCTACTAAAGGGACTGATAATTCCATCTGTCGTGTAAATTACTAATTATTGTGACATCTATCAATACATGCCCTATATCACTCCTAGCCATGCCTTACACAGCACTGCACCCACCCCAAAACAGTTACAGTTAGCTAACACCTCAGTTTGACCCCCTAAGCATATTCAATCAGTGTATCAACAAAGTAGTGGTGGTGGAAATGAACAAAGTACATTACGACTTAGGTCCTGTACTTAAGTATCATTTTGATGTACTTGTACTTTACTTGAGAATAACTCGTTCATCAAGATGTGGGATTTAAGTGTGCTTTAAGATCTTGCAAACTAAGTTTTCTCACAGTGTTTGAGACTGTGAAATTGATTGCAACCATCCTCTTCCTCATTTCTGTGTAAACCAACACCACCAGAGATAGTTGCAGTCAACACCACAGCGACAGCAGATTTTATTGCTATGTTTATAATCATATGCATTTTACCTTCCAGGTTAACTACATGATATTTTAAATGCACAGCTACCCTGAAGACAATATTTCTAAAGTAATCTGTTGCTGTGTGCAGAACGTTGTGGTGTTAATGGGATGATGTCGTTGTCTAAATGTGTATGCAGCAACACATTTTGTAGGTGTGAAAAGGAAGTGAAGGAGGGTTTAATGACCTCATACTGACAGGCAGTGCTTTGGTCGGCTTTTTCTCCGGCTCTAGTTGGAGACATAACATTTTAAAAAAGCAACATTTGGTGATTGATGTTTTATTTTATGATGTTTATGGCAAAGTCAAAGAAAACAATGTTTAAATTCTGGACAGAGTGCCCAGGAGACAATTTATATTTAATTAATGTTCATTTAGTCACTTCCTGTGTGTGTGTGTGTGTGTGTGTGTGTGTGTGTGTGTGTGTGTGTGGGTGGGTGACGTATTTCATCTGAACGATGCATCACAGACTCTACTGGTGCAAAAGTTCATTTTTACTATCATGTCATATTCTATTTATGTTTACATGCGGCCCTTCTTTTAACATCCTTCTCTGAGCTTTATTGTGACAACTATCTGATCTCAGCTGTTGAGACAGTTGTATTTTCTGATTAAATCAGCATTGCATTGTACCCTGTGGTTTTTGTTTGTTTATTTCTTAATGGTTATAAACAATCTTCCAAAATATGAAATCATCCTGATCTATAAGTATTTTTACACCCACAACTCTGATAATTCTGTAAATAGTAGCTCTCTGTGTAGAAACAGAACACTCAACTATTATAGATATTAAAAAATGCAAAATGCCCAACAATTATCTGTTATAATTATGAACTACTTAGTGCAATACTAGTGTTGTCTAAAATGCTGTGACCGTGTGACGTCCCTGCATGCTACCTGCAGAGGTTGGGCAGGAAGTGTGGGACTGTCAACATATGTGGTCAAACCCAAAGTGTTGTGAGGCCTCAGAAAAAGAAGATGTGGGAAAGGTCTGGTTTCATGTATTATTTATACATATTAGGTATGTAAGTTCTCTTTTCTTTTGTCCAGCTCCAGTGTCAGTCCTTCTGTTTCTTGTTGAGTGCAGAGTGTCAGTGCTCGATGTGAGGATGGGGCTGACTTTGTTCTGCGTGCTGTTGTTATTCTGTGAGTACATAAGTGACTTTATTTGTTTGACAGATACAGATTAAGGAACATGTAGTGAGAGGAACAGAGTATCATATGTTTGTCAAGCTCCAGATGTTTTTAAATGATATTGTTTATTATGTATTTGACAGTTCAGCCAGTTTATAATGTCTTAAGTATCAATCTTTATTACAGTGCTGAATACACTCCTCGACTGTGGACACAGTGAAGGTGACTGAACAATTTTCTGTCTTTTCTGTTTTGGGGTTTATTCACTATTTATTCACTATATTTGATCAATATATGTATCATTTCATGTAGCAGTTATGATGAGACTAAAGCAGTGATTAAGAGTGTGTCATTACATGTTCCTCAAACACTTTTTTAGGGTTTGAATGTTTGACAGTATCTATTATATGTTTGCGTGTGATTCCAGACGCTGAGCTGATCATTGAACCCAACTCACCCTATTTATTTAGTGGAGAGTCTGTTACCTTCATATGTGACATGAGAGAAGGAACAGACACTGACTGGCTTTACACATTCAACAGGAACGGTCGACCAGTTGTCTCCTTCAATACAGACAACTGGTACTCGCTTAACCTGACGGCTGACTTGAGCGGTGATTATCAGTGCACTGGTCGTCACAAGGTCTCAACAAAGTTGACCAAACAGAGTAACAATGTCACTCTGTCTGTATCAGGTAAGATATCTGATTTGTTGTCACGGCCACCAAGTTCAGCATCACCTGTAGCACAGCCATGTTGAGATAATCAGTGAACTATCACAGAGACAATCAGCAGGAGTTTTAAACTGCTACACAGACTCCATGGTTGCTGCATGTAGTTGCTGCAGTTTACTGTGTGTGTACTGAGTTTTGTTGAGTAATAATGCAGTTGGATATGCAGGGTTTTGAAGTTTATGCGATATTAACTGATACTGAAATAATTAACTGGATCATTTTAACAGCCGGATGCATTGATTTGATTAATTATGTCAGCGTAAAGGTTGCTGGGTTGCTTTGCATTGCCACTGGTACAAATAAGAATCCCTTTTAAAGAGATTGTACTCAGTTTTTTACACAGTTCACCTGTTGGAGGGACACAGAGCCACACATAGAGAGGAAACATAGACTAGCTGCATTAAAACACAGAACTGCAGAGAACAGCAAGCTCAGTGTAGCAGCTTCAGTTGATTATAATGGACGTGCTCTGCTGTGGGCATGATGCAGCATATGTGTTGCTCTGCAGCTGTGTCCCATGTATTTTGGCCATAAGAGAAAAGAATCTGCATGTTTTACAATTGACTTTTGATACATGTGGGTGGCATGGTGGCACAGTGCTTAGCATTGCCCACCCTGGGCCAAAGCAAGAGCAAAAAAAACAACCAAACAAACAAAAAAACTCTCAAGCAAAAAGCAAATAAGAGTTAATTACTGATGTAGTCTGCACGAAGGTGTACAGATGAGGGAAATAAACACTCAATCGATTACAGTTCATCCAGATAACAAGGCAAGGCTGCACTGAAGTAAACACTGGAGAATACTCTCTTAAAGGAAGAGAGAAATTCCCTCCAGACAGTGACGAGGCAGAAAAGACTGAAGAAATGGTTTGTTATTTTATACTTTGTTGGATGCACAAAGTCAAAGTCAAATTTATTTGTATAGAACAATTCATATGACAAGCATAAATCAATGTGCTTAAAATGAACACAACATACATATGAAATCATATAACAACAAGGAAATAACATAGTAAAAGAGCATGTAGAAACCTGATATTAACAACAATACAAAAATAATGGTACAGCTGGTTTAAACCACACAAACGTCTAAGTAAAAGCTTGTGAAAAAAGATGTGTTTTTAACCTGTTTAAAAGTAGATATTGATGCAAAAGACCTGAGGTCATGTGGTAAGGAATTCCAAAGAACTGGACCATAGTGACTAAAGGCACCATGAGCTGATCTAGAATATATTCTTGGAATAGTGAGAAGGTCTCTACTTCCAGATCTCAGGAATCTATCTGGCGTGTACTCAGCCAGCATGTCATTGATATAAGGTGGAGCTACACCATTCATAGCTTTAAAAACAACAAGCAAAATCTTAAAATCAATTATTTGCTTTACAGGAAGCCAGTGAAGAGAAATTAAAATGGGAGTGATGTGCTCATATTTTTTTGTCCTGGTTATCACTCTAGCTGCAGCATTCTGAACAAGCTGCAGCCTGTAAAGTGCCTGTTTTGTTATTCCTGTGAAAAGTCCATTACAGTAGTCCAGCCTGCTAGAAATAAACATTTCAGCATCTGAGAGGGATATAAATGATCTAACTTTAGTTATGTTTCTAAGATGATAGAATGCAGTCTTGAATATGGAGGAAATATGCTTCTAAAAATTAAGATCAGTGTCAATAATAATGCCTAGATTCTTAACATGCTCACTAGGTTTCACAGAAAGAGGAGTCAGTAGGGAACTAATCTGCTGCTTTAAAGCTTTTGGACCAGCAAGAAGAATTTCAGTTTTGTCATCATTAAATTGTAAGAAGTTTTTGGTCATCCAGCACTTATAGGAATGATATGATATATTGTATTGACGGATTATGGAACCAAGTGGGAACATGTAGTTAAAAAGAAGAGGGCCAAGGATAGACCCTTGAGGCACTCCATATAAAAAGCTGACCTCATCTGATAGACAATCTCCCATTGAAACAGAAAAAGATCTACCTGTAAGGTAGGAAGAAAGCCAGTGTAGAACAGTGCCTTTGAAACCAAGACAATTTTTGAGGCGACTAAGCAGAATAGCATGGTCGACTGTGTCAAAAGCGGCACTGAGATCAAGCAGGACAAAGACAGAGACTTTATGATTATCAGAATTAATTTTGAGACCATTAACTGCACATAAGTTTTTTCCTTATGCATTTCAGAGTAATTTAGTTGTCAGGCATATAGATATTTACATTAGATTGATTTTATTAACAAGTGCTTGAAGTGTGCACTGAGCTGCTGTGTTATCTAAAAAAAGGATTACGACTTGATATTGGAGGATTGGAGGCAAAAAACTTCTTGGTACATCCCTAGAAAATAATAATGAATAATGAATTAATAATAAAAATGTATTCTAAACCAAACAGCAGGAAGACCTGTGGCCACTCTGAGAGCAAGCAGGACAACGATACCAGTAGGGGGCACTCTGACACTGACCTGTTCTGTGGAAGGCTCTGCTGGATGGAAATATGACTGGTTCAGACGTATCTCAGATTCCCATGAAACTATAATCGTTACGAATGGTATACAAAACATCAATATCTCACAAAACGGTATCTACCGTTGCCGGGGAGGAAGAGGAAAGCCAGTTTTCCTCACAGAGTACAGTGATGACTTTCGCACTGAGATGACTTGTGAGTGATGTAACTTTTTTTCAGTAGAGCACTTTTAATGTTTTTTCAGCTGTTAATTGTGCTTTTCTGATGTGAACAGTGTCCAATAGGATCTCTGTGACCCTGCAACACAGCTGGACTAAGGTATTCAGCGGTGAGACGATCACTCTTGTATGTAAGATCAAGACAGGTGGAGACACTGAGTGGGTGTACGAATGGAGAACAACCAGCTCACACACACCTCCAACACACCGTGAGTACAGGATCAGCAGTGTTTCTGTTTCCCACAGTGGACGCTACTGGTGTAAGGGTAGAAGGGACTCGTATTCCTCAACAGAGTGGAGTAATGCCCTCCAACTAATAGTATCATGTAAGTGAGAATGTCTTTCATTTAGTCTATGTTTTAATGTGTTTTTATCTGTCTACCTAAATGACAACAATTGCTTTTTCCTTCTCACAAAAATGAACAGCATATAGACCCAGGCCCAAAGTTATGGTACAGAAGAGAACCATATCAGAAGGTGGCAACCAAATACTGACCTGTGATATGGAGGACTCTGCTGAGTGGAAATACTACTGGTTCAGACGTACCTCTGTCTTTTCTGAAAGTCAGATCATTAGAGATGGTAAACCTGAGACAGTACTCAGTGTCTCACAAGGAGGCATCTACCACTGCAGAGGAGGGAGAGGAAATCCAGTTGTCTTCACAGAGGACAGTGATGCAGTCACTATTGAGAAAAGAGGTGAGTGTTGGTGCTTTAGTTTGGAGCGATACAGCTTGCAGAATTAGTGGTCCAAACTAGTTTCTTCTGTTTCTGCTTCTACTTAAACAGTTTCCAACAAGGCAGTCGTGACTTCGCAACCCAACTGGCCTCTGATATTTAGTGGTGAAACCATCACTGTAATCTGTGATATTCACGAAAGAGGAAACACTGTGTGGGAGTATGAGTGGAGCAAACCCAACTCAAACACAACTCTAACAGACAACAAATGCAGGATTAGCAGTGCTACTGTGTCCGACAGTGGAAACTACAGGTGCATGGGTAAAAAGAAATGGGACTTGTATTCCTCAACAGAGTGGAGCGATGTCATCACATTGACAGTTTCATGTAAGTTGATATGTGTTTATTGCATAGTGTTTCTTTGGCATTATCACACTCATATCATGACCACTTGCCAAAAGATGGCTCTATTTAAAATTTTACTTATTTTGTGGGTGTGTCTGGATTCAGTTTGTTTTGCCACTTCAGTTTAATCCAGTGGTTAGGAAGAGTGAAGCATACAAGCATTCCTATCATTACCTACAGCACTGTAGTATACCTCATACACATGTTGAGAACAGTGATTAAATGAGGATTTTGTTGTTGTTTTGATATGGTTAACAAGTGTTTTAGTGTTGCAGAAGACATTGCCTCCATGTCAGCAATAACCGTGGCAGAAGGCATTGTCTTTGGATTGTCTGTCTGTCTGTCTGTCTGTCTGTCTGTCTGTCTGATTCTCATGAGCGCAATATCTCAAGAATGCTGTGAGGGAATTTCTTCAATTTGGCACAAACATCCACATGGTATCATGGATGAACTAATCAGATTTTGGTGGTCAAAGGTCAGGGCCACATGGTGACCATGTCTGACTCATTGTCGTGAATGCGATATCTTAAGAACACCTTGAGGGAACTTCTTCAGATTTGGCACAAACGTCCACCTTGACTTAACCATAAGCTTATTAGAATCTGGTGATCAAACGTTGAGGCCACTGTGACCTCCTTATTTGCATGAACATAGTATCTCAAAAACACATAGGGAATTTCTTCAAATTTGGCACAAACATCCCCTTGGACTCAAGAATTATGACTGTATTAATAGGATATAATGATGAAGTGAGGACATTAAATATCCAGAAGGTCAAAGGTCAACCTTACTGTGACATCATAATGTTCGGCAAAAACCCCTTTTCTGGCCATTATTCAACGTCATATCTCAGGAACAGAAGAGAACACACTTAGTCACATACCGAAATGCTGACACTGATCTTGGGCATCCACCTTGAAACTGTGCTGATTGTATAGATCTTTTGTGCCACTGGGGGAAAGATGACGTGTGTGAAACATTAAGGTTTTCACAGATGGATGTAACCTGTAACTGCAACCTGACACATTCACTGAGGCATGAGTGCGAGGCAGTAATTCTAGTCTTTAAGAGGTTGAAATTGGAGTCATTTACAGGGACAGTCATGACCTTTTTTTATTGTCTTTTAATCGAACTAAACAGCACACAGACCAAAAGCCAACCTGAGTGCTGACAGCAGAGCCTTTCCAGCAGGGGGCAGTGCGACCCTGACCTGCTCTGTGAACCCACCATCATTTGGTTGGAAATACTTATGGTTCAGAGAGCAGACAACCTTTCAACACCTGACCACACAAGAATTTGTCTTCCTCTCAAATGGACAAATCAGTGTCTCACAGGAAGGACTGTACACGTGCATTGGAGGAAGAGGAGATCCAATTTACTACACAGAGTACAGTGACTCAGTCAGAATTTACAAAATTGGTGAGTGTTGCATTGAGATATGACTGTATCTATGATTGCTAATAGGGATCTGGTTGATGTTAATTTAACCTTTTTCATTTGTCATTTTTGTTTCTTTATTGGTGATTTGTGAACATGAATAGCTACAAAAGGGGCTGTAGTGACCATGCAACCCAACTGGCCTGAGTTATACTCTGGAGAGACGGTCACTCTTAGATGTGAGATCCAGGGAAGAGACACTAAGTGGGAGTACGAATGGATGACAACCAGTTCATTTAAGCCTCCAAACCAGAATGAATACAGAATTAGTTCTGTCTCTCCATCACACATTGGAGACTACTGGTGTAAGGGCAGACTGGAAAGGGCACAACAGAATTCAACAGGGTGGAGTATTTCCTTCAAACTGACAGTGTCTTATAGTAAGTCATATTATATTACATCCACACTGAAAAACTCATGAAAGCCTTGACGTTTGGGTTAAATACTTGTGGATTCTTTGCAAAGCCTTTTTACTGTATGTCTTAAATGTATAGTACCTGAGCATTTCCATATAATCCACAAACCTATCAAGAGATCAAAACCTGTTTTCTGTCTGAAAAATTCTCCCCCACAGAACCTCAGCCTGTCCTCACTGTGTCTCCATTATGGCTGAGTCCTGGAGCCTCAGTAACTCTGAACTGCAGTGTTAAACATCCATCTGCAGGATGGAGGTTCTTCTGGTATAAGGCTGTTCCCAAACTGTCAGACAACTCCTACAGCTATGAGCTGATACCTGGCAGCATCAATGGGACTAAACAGGATTCCTACATTGTTGATGGACAGACACACACAGCAGGATATGTGTGCAGAGCTGGAAGAGGAGATCCAGTGTATTATACTCATTACAGTCAACCTAAGTTTGTCTGGTCTGGAGGTCAGTTTTTTTTTCTTTCTTCCCTCCCTCAGAAAGCTGATATTGTGCTATATCTTCAAACAATTGTCCACACTGGCATTTAATTGGATGTGCAGATTCATTCATGAAGAAATGTATGGCTTGTGAAAATATTCAGGGCTAGATTCAAAATATTTGCTAGTTGGTAATGTAGTCAGTGAATTAAAGTTACAATGTAATTACTTAAAGTTAAAGTGGAAGTCTCGAAGATTTCAGTCCTGGTTTATATGGAGACACCTGAGGGCTGTATCACAAAGGAAGTTCAACAAAGCCAGGCTCTCTTTGCCTTCAGCTGGTTCCACAAATCTTAAAGCCTCAATCAGAGATAACAGGTTCTAGGAAGGTGCTTATCAGTCTGCTCAGTTATCTCAGGCCTTCTTCTTCACGCTCTGTGAACATTGCCATAAAACCAGTCAAATGATGTGTTCAGTAGTGATGGCCAAATGAAGCCTCAGGAACCAATTTCTTTATTTTCTGACCCCACCAGATGACGCTCTTGGTTTAAAGATAAAGGCTGAAGGACCTGCAATGAAGTGTGCTTTCAAACCTTTGTTGAACAGACAGCGCCATCTGGTGGCTTCAGAAAATAAAGATAGTGGTTCTTGAGGCCTCATTTGGCCATCACTAGTTCAGTGCATCATTTGACACTTAAAAATGATCACTCTGTGCCGCCTCCTTCTGCCTTTGAAGAAGTATTACATTAAAGAGGAACATTGTTATCTTAAATTAAGGTGAGAGAGGAAAGCTGGCAGAAAATTACTAATTGTGTGAATTCACTAGTTAAAAGGATATCACTCCGTTTATGTCTAATGTGACAGCTGCACATTCTTTAGCTCTTTACTTTAAATTTGATGCAACAGATTTAAACATTAAACTCAAGAACTGCATTTACTGCCCCTTACTGAAGGAGACGTGGAAATCACTTTAGTTTTGTGCAGATCTAAGTGAAATAAATGCTACTAGTTGAATATTAAAAGTGTTAAATACAAATCAACTAATCCGTCTTCTATCAGCTTTAATATATCAGCAGTGTGAGACAGACTTCAACAGATCAGGACCGAGCATAAAAACATAACCCAAAGTGGTAATGTTATCACATGGTTTGAGGGAATTTTGCCACATTTATTATGCAAGTAAACATCATACCAATTCATAATTTAGTGAACTATGTATAATGCCACTTGTGATTTTATGGACCAGAGAGCACGACATACATATTTCATACATAGTTTAATTTCAAACATAGATCAGTAAGAGCAAGAACAACTTTGCAAATACAGTAGACAATACTGACAAAAACTGGTCCTGACCAGGTTAGGTCTGCAGCATAAGTTACAGCAGTGAAATTGGCAATCTAGTTAGGTTAAAAGAGAGCCACCTTTGTAGAATAGAAAACTCTGGCTGTAGACTCAACATACCTCACTAAGCCACTACTATCGCTTCATGGTACACCCCTCTGTATTCTCGGGTGGTAATAAGAGTGGTTTAGTACTACTAGTCACAGACTTCTAGGGAACGTGAAAAACTCTTGTTGTTTTAATAAAGAAGGCAGGCAATAATTGGCATTTTTCCATCAATCTGAAAGTAACCGTGATCTTGTTAAATGCTGCACATGGCATGAATGTGCGGGCAGCAGGGCACAGTGAAAGGAATTGGTTACCTTGCTAAGTTGGAGTCGCCCGCAGTTTTTCACTGTGGCTACTCCTTCTTGTTCTTCAAAATTGTATGTTGTCCCGTTTTGTAGATGCATTTTTGCCAGTCAGCTGTCCACTGAGCTGCGGCTCACCTTGCTCTTGGAGGCAGCTACAGTTTCAGTTTACACATTCCAACAGACATGCAATTAAATGGCAACAAAAGAAACAAGGAAATATCAGTTGTGGTAATATTTTAACAGTAACAGATTGCTTATGTCATAACACACTACTCCACTGTTCATTTGGTCACTGCTGTAAAACCTTACCTTAGAGACTTTGCGACTAGCCACAGATCGCTTTGTTTATATGGAAGTAAGCCTGTTACCACGATTGCAGTGTTTACGGTACACACAAAATGGCTGCCGCTCTGATCATCCTGCCACGTTGATTTGATGTTTGTTCTACTTTTATTCCATTTCTATGGTTTAACCAAAGCCCTGCATCTTGTTGCAACACTGTCAATGCTCAGCAATTTAAAATGATTGAAACAACAAAACCAAAGGTACATTACTGTCTTTTTAACCTTATAATTTCACTTTTATTTGTTTTACTCTTCAATGTTGTTTGTCAGATGTTCGATCAGCAGCGTCTCTCACAGTGAGTCCTCATAGAGTGCAACACTTCGCAGATGACTCTGTCTTACTGAGCTGTGAGGGAAACTCTACTGAGTGGCAAGTGAAGGGGTTTTTTGAGGACGGCTACTTGCCATACTTGCCATACTGCCCTTCCAGGGGGACAATGACTGGATTCACATGCTATATAGACCCTAACCATCTCTTGGGCCGTACTGCTGTATACTGGTGTGAGTCTGGATCAGGGGAGTTCAGCAATGGCGTCAACATCACAACAAATTGTAAGTTTTCATCCCATTTCTTCTTTCACGTTTTGAGCATGTAATTTCATGTTAACATTTTAGAATTATATTTTGTACATATGCATACTGAGGACTGCACTTGTCTGTCTATTAGCAGCATGAGAAATGTATGCGACTAGTATTAACCCAAATAATTGTGGCATGTGACGCCATTCATGTGTTCACTAACAAGCTGGTTTGTCAGCCCTGTCTCATTAATAATATTTATTGGTTTTACAGATGATGTTATCCTGGTGAGCCCTGTCCATCCTGTAACTGAGGGAGATTCTGTTACACTTGGCTGCAAGCTAAGGACAGAAGAATTACTTTCCAATGTCGCTTTCTACAAAAATGATGAACTGATTCAAAATAATGACAGAGTGGACCTGAATATATCTGAAGTCTCAAAGTCAGACGAAGGCTTCTACAGCTGTAAATACTCAGGAAAAGTGTCACGACAGAGTTGGATGTCAGTAAAATGTGAGTATGACTGATGCAGCCCGTTTTCATTTGTTTATGTGTGCTATGATAGCCTTAGGATCAGCAGATTTCACCCAGCAGGCCTTTTTCCCAGAAGATATTTCGACTTGATTTGCTCTGTCTCTGCTCCCGCTAAGCCATGACAGTCTGACAGAAAGCCAAGACCAGGACCCTTAAGGCGAAGCAGCTAGATGGAGTTGAGCCATCATTCATTTTATAATTTACATTTATGCTTTTCTTTTGATGTCAGAAAGGTTAATGTTTTGTGTTTAAAAAAAAAAAACCTGGACAGTTATGAGGTAGTTACATTTCACAAGAAATCAGTAGGCATGTTAAAAATGGACCTCTTAATCACTGTCAGCCAAATGTTGTGGTTTATCATTTTTGGCATAAGTCTAGATATAACAGCAAATACAATTATTTTTCTTTTTTGATGGTTTTCAGCAAAATATACAAAGACATTTTTTGTAAAGCAGCTTCATTTAAAACTGGCCATTTTTTTCTGTCCCACTCTTAAATGGACGGGTTACCCCAAAATCGAAAATACATATTATTCCTCTTACATATAGTGCTATTTATCAGTTCAGATTGTTTTGATGTGAGATGCTGAGTGCTGAAGATATAGAGATATGAAGATGTCTGCCCTCTCTCAAATATAATGGAACTAGACAGCACTCAGCTTGTGGTGTGGAAAAACTCAACATCAGTGTCTATTTCCAGAAACCATGACCAGGTTACTGAAGATGATCCACAGAACTTCATGTAGGAACTGTTTTCTTTCTACCAAACTACACCCACCAACCGTTAGTGATGGCCAAATGAAGCCTCATGAGCCACTTTCTTTATTTTCTGACCCCACCACATGGAGGTCTTGGTTTAAAGATAAAGGCTGAAAGACTGGCAATGAAGTGTGCTTTCAAACCTTTGTTGAACAGACAGCGCCATCTGGTGGCTTCAGAAAATAAAGACAGTGGTTAATGAGGCCTCATTTGGGCATCACTACCAACCGTATCACTGCACAGCAGGAAACATGCATCTACTGCTAGCTCACCTAGCAACACTGAGCCAGCTAACATACAACTCAGCCCGAGGAGGAAGCCATTTATGTTCACATCCTGGGCTGTCATGAGAACTAAACCTTTCATCTGTGGGTAGTTGTGTGCATCCTTCTGCCTAGTGATGTGGTTGGAGGGTGAAGTTCAGTACAAAGAAAATAGTTCCTACATGAAACTGCTCACAACAAGATCTGTGGATTATCTTGAGTTATCAGGTCATGATTTCTAGAAAGAGACATTGCTGTTGAGTTTTTCTAATGTAATTTTTGGCACTTTGAGCACCACAAGCTGAGTGCCGTCTAGTTCTATTATGTTGGAGAGAAGACAGACATCTCTACAGCCGATATCTCCAACACTCGGCAACTCACACCAAAACAATCTAGAGTGACAAATAGCACTACAGGTAAGAAGAAAAAATATATGTTTGATTTTGGAGTAACTGTCCCTGTAAGTCAATGTCTTCTTGCCTAATGCTGACATTGGTTCCCACAGTTTGCAGAAGATGAGGCCCTGGTGATACAAGTTCAAAATAGGAAAAAATAAAGGTGCTGCTGCTGTACCTGGGTCTCTATTTAAATACGAGACGGTATCACTTATGAGTATGCAATCACTGATCTGATCTGCTTTTGCCCATTAAAATAAATTAATATTTATTCTTTATAAATCCAGCATCTGGTTTTCCATTTCCTGTGCTGTTCATCGCCGGGCTGGTTTGTGGAATCACACTGATTGCTCTCCTGCCACTGCTACTATTGTGTTGGTGCAAAAAGTCAGAGGGTGAGATCTTCTCTGATTTATTTTACATAAACTACTTTCTGCTTATTAAAAAGTCACAAAGGAATTCTGATGGCACGACACAGAGCAGTAATGATTACTGTCTTTTTTACAGATACATGTTTTTGCAGGTTGGTACAACACTCTCTGGTCTCATCTGAAACAAAACATAACTTATTATTGTTATTTACTTCCTTTTTTTTTTTTTTACATACTAATACTTGAATACAGTTTATTGCTTCGTGTTTCAGGCTCATCCAGTCTCAGAGAACCAATCAGAGCTCTGCTACAGTCGAAACTGTCTACCAAGCTGGAAATCAACAGCAGCTATACTCCTCTCTTCTCCATGGTCAGCTCACACTCTTCTTTATTCCAACCCTGTTATTATTTTTATCATAACAGCAATTCCATATGATGCAGATTTGACACTGTTAAACTACATCAAGTACGACTGTATCAGCTATGATGTCTTTATTTTTATTGACTTGTAGGTGACATGTGTGTCTATGAAACAGTTGGCTCTGGAAACACTGGTGGTGGTGGTACAGTATAAATTCATGCAGCGCAGTCCAAAATGATACAGCTCTAAGTTAGGAATTAAAATTCAAGCCATTAAAAACATTGTCATTTCACGAGACCGTGCAGATGAATACAGAAATGTCACATCTCAGATTCAGCTTAAAGGTCTTGGAAGGAGGAGTGAGTACACACAATATGAAACATTCAAAATAAATTCATTGATTGTTAATACCCAAATGGACATAGTATTACATAACCAAAAGTATGTGGACAGTTGAATATTATACCCATACATGTGTGTGATTGCCAAAGTGTGAAGAGTAAGAAAGCCAGATTTTTTTTTATTATCATCATTATTATTATTATTATTTATTATTATTATTATTATTATTATTATGATTTTTAACATACTGTTTTAACAGGAATACAGGACGATGCAGTAGAGAGCTCTGACTACCATAATGTGAATCCAGATTCAATTTCAGGTACAAACACAGGGTAATGTGCATTTGAATTAATATATTAAATATATTGGACAACCATATAACTGTAGATAAGTATGTAGTTTAAAAATTTTCACTGTAGGCATCTAAACTCTTCCACTTGAAATGCATTTTAAAACAAATTGAGGAAGCTGAAGATTTCATTGACTCTTCGATTATAACTGTCAACAGCCTTGTTAGTGTTAAAGGGTTAATGTATCAAGTACTTATTTTCGTTGGCATTTATTTTGATTTTGTTTCAGGTCCATAAAAAGAAGTGCATCATCAGCAAAAAAAGAGAACCATGGACAACGAAATGATAGACAACAAGGTTCCAGACTGCAACTAAATGGTCTTATTTTGCGAACATATTTGGAGTCAGTACGAGTATTTTAACTACTCGTGCTCATGTGCGACCAGTTGTTTTAATTGTGGTAATTTAATTTATTAAAATGCTTTCCAGGCTTTCTGTAATTTATGTTCATGGTTCAACCTCCATTTTACAGGAATTCTCATGTAAATCAGCATCATATCAGTTTGCTGCTGCAGACTGCAACTACACAGGCTACAGAAATTGTATCTGACTATAAGGTTAATATTTTCAGAGGAAAAGAAAACAAGACAACAGCTTTCATCAAAGATCAGTCAGATATAGTCAGGGCTTCCTATCTGTACAGATGTTATTTTAAGAATCCACACATCCCACTGACCCCTGATCCCAAGTCTCTGTGATGCTAAATACCTCAATAATTAAAACAGTCCAATGTTTATATACTGTAGACTACATATAGTTTATGAAACAGTTAAAATGGCCAAAAATGTGAATATTTGTGTTGCAGGATGATTTAAGGTGTGCCCCTAAATTTTCAACTTACAGTGCTCTGACTAAAAAAAAGCTAGTTTGGAGCCCTGTACAACATTCATGTTTTTTTTCTTTTGTATTTATACTTATTTTGTATATTATTATTGCTATAATGTAGTAATTATGTAGGTTAGATAGCGTAGAAAAACATATGTATCATTCCATGTTAGTAACGGAGTTTGGCAGCGTGGTTTGTATGTATAACTTGTCTACACAGTTAAATGTTTATATGCATGATTTGTATTCATTTGTTGTTTTTGTATAAAGGTAGTTTGTTTTTTCTCCCTGTAGTAGTCATCAGTTGTTTACTATATTCACCATTGTAGTGCTGATGTTTAACATCTGAATAAAAACCCATAAGTATTGTAATATTTTAATCAAACCAAACCAAAATGTGTTTACTTATTAAGGTGGACATATTTTTAAATAAAGCAGTGAGGTAAAACATTTTGGTCATTATGATACATTTCATTAAAATGACAAAATTATATACTCAGGACCGCTTACCTGAATTTCACATGTGCATGACTGATAAAAAGAGACGTCTAGACACTTCAGAATGTGGTAAGATAGTCACATTATTATCATAATAAATGCACCAGGTCCCGATAAAGAATTCTATGTACAGATTTATTTGCCAACTGGAAAAGGTGGTGATTAAAGGGAAATTTCGGTTTATTTCAACCCATCTCCTATTGTCCTAAATTTGTTTCAAGTCACTAGTGACATTGAAATAATAGTTAGCATGTTAGCCGTTAGCCTAGATACAGCCGTAGCGTCAGACCTGTTAAAACGTAATTGAACGGGCATACCTTCAAGTGCAAAGTTAGTCCACTAAACAAGCTTTTTCTCCACAAAGACCACCACATTGTTAGGATAAATGTCAGAGAACATATAGAAAACGACATGTAAACGTGTTGTCTTACCTTACCGGTGTGCTGCCATGTTTGTTGTTTACCATTTAGCTAAGGCTGCAACCAGTCCCATTCCTTGCAACAGAGGTATTCCTCTTCTGTGGGCATTGGGGTACAGCATTCACAGGTAACGTTACACCACCAATCTCTAGAGCTAAATCCTTCCAGCAGCCATTCCTCCTCTGTTGTCCTCTAACGTTACCTGTTGTGCCTCTCTCTCTCTCCTCCTCCGCCCTTATTTATTTGAGCCAGAATACACTGACGAAGAGCTTCGTGAAATTGTAGAACGGAGGAGGAACACACAGAACACAATAGCTCAAGAACACCAAGAGGGAATTTGTGAAAATTTGGCACAAATGTCCACTTGTCACAACAATGACCTGATTAGATTATCGTGGTCAAAGGTAAGGGTTGTTGTGACCATGTCTGTCCCATTCTTATTAATGTGGTATCTAAAATACATCTTGAGCTTCCTCAAATTTGGCACAGACATCCACCCGGACTCAGCAATTAACTGATAAGAGTTTTGGTGGTCACAGGTCAAGGTCACTGTGACCATGTCAGTCTAATTATAGTGAATGTGATATCTCAAGAACAGCTTGCGGGAATTTCTTCAAATTTGGCACAAATGTTCACTTGGACTTTAAGATGAATGTTTTAAATTTGCAGGTCAAAGGTCACTGTGACCTCACAAAAGATGTTTTTGGCTATAACTTAAGAGTTCATGCTGTAATTATGACACAGTTTCACACAGATGTCTAATACGATGAAGTGATAAAGTGTTGACATTTTATAGAATTACAGCCTTGCTGTTGTATACCTCCTCAGACCACTCAAGTTGCACTTACAATTTACGTCAATGTTCGTAGAAACATGGATGCTTAACACACATCTTCCGCCCATCAGCACAGGAGGTCGATATAATCAGCACAGTTATAAGGTGGACAGGCAAGATTAGAGTCACTTATTCAATATCTGTCCAAATGCCTCCCCTTCTGTTCCTGAGTTATGACATTGACTAATGGCCAGACAAGTGTTTTTGCAGAACCTTATGATGTCAAAGTGAAGCTGCCCTTTGACCTTTGAGATGTAAACTGTAACCCCTCATCATTATATCTCATTAGACATTTGTGTAATATTTTGTCCAAATTGACATAAAAAAAATTGTTCACAGTGACCTTTTGACCATTAAAATCTAATTCCCAGTGACCATTTGTGCCAAATTTAAGGAAACTCCTTCAAGGTGTTGTTGAGATATCACATTCACAAGAATGAGATGGATGCACGGTCACAATGATCTTGACCTGTGTATACCAAACTGTAATTAGTGCATTGTTTAGTCCAAGTGGACGTTTGTGCCAAATTTTAAGAAATTTCATAAAGCTGTTCTTGAGGTATCACATTCATGAGAGTGAGACAAATGCAAGGTCACAGTGACCTTGACCTTTGACCAACAAAAGTTAATCAGTTCATTGCTGATTCCAAGTCAATGTTTTTCTCAAATAAAAAAAAAAAAATCCTCAAAGTCTTCTTGAGATGTCGCGTTAACAACAGGGTTCCTACGCAAGTATGGAAAGTATGGAAAAGTATGGAATCAATCAATCAGTTTTCAGGTATTAAAAAGTATGGAAAATGAAAAATAAAGTATGGAAAAATATTTATGTTTCCAGACTATTACCACTGTTCTAAAATACTGTTTTCTCAAATATTTTAGGTATTTCCAAAAATAATTTAATCAATCCGGATCGTGTTTTATGCCAGGCCAAGCACAGTTTGTGTGAGAGCAAACGTCTCAGAAAACATACCGCCCCTTTTACCTGACTGACAAGTGGTATGTCCACGAGTTTCACGTGGTTCACAATGGGTAGATGCAAGTTTTTGGATGGATGGCTTGACAATATCGTATGTAAATACTGGTTGGCCAAGGATTCCCAATTCACACACAGAGCTAGATGCAAGCTTTGTGTGAAATCGTTTGACATTGCCAACATGGGGGAGAAGGCGATTCTGAGCCACATGAAAGGAAAAAACACCGACGTCTCGTTACTGCATCGCTTGCACCCAGAGTCCCAACCTTTTTGCCTCAGCCCAGACAATGAACTTACATGAGTTTTTATTTAAATGCCATTATGGTACATGACTACAATCACCTAATAAAAATAATTAAATATGATGTGAAATATGATACACTGATATATTTACTCAGATGTCGCATATTCTCTGAAAAAAAAAAATGCTGAGAAGTCTGGAAATTGGGGTATGGAATTTTGAAATTCCACATGTGTAGGAACCCTGTAACAAGAATCACCTGCGACCTATAAACACCAATATCTACATAGTTTATCTTTGAATCCAAGTGGACGTTTGTTTAAAAAATTGAAGGTCAACTTCTCTGTGACATCTTAATGTTCTCTAAAACACCTTTCTAGCCATTTTTCAACGCCATAACTCAGGAACAGAGGGAGAGGCATTTGGTCAGATACTGAATTGGTGACACTAATCTTGGGTGTCTACAATGAAACTGGGTTGATTGTATAGATCTGTACTGCTGAGGGAAAATGTGTGCAAAAAAAATCCATGTTTTAGAATATGAAGCTTTTTTGCAGCAACATCTGTATTTCAAGAATTGTCCACTGGCATGCTTATGTATGAGTCTGGACAGGCATGGATGCACACTGTAACTTGACTGATGTGTGGAGGCATACTTAACTTACATAATTAACTAATGTAGCAGATCATGATACCCGCTAACAACCTAACAGTAGCATGTTTACTCAGCTTCCTGGTGCTTATACTTTGATCAAGATGCCCACTCTTACAACAGTAAGTTCTTTGATGGCTGAACTGTCTGATTCCGGAGCACCAGATTGAATTGCAAGGGCAGCATACTGTAGTAGTTGATTGTTCTGGTATGTGTCCCTACTGAATGCATGTGCTTTTGTTTTAGGCAGCACTGCCACCATGTGTCAAAGACATACAGTCGCAACCTCTGTTCCTTGATAAGCCTCTGCAGTTGCTAAAAAAACATAACACTATAGATTCATCCACTGTTCTCTTAAGCAGGCAGCGATACCTACACATGCATTTAAATAACTGTCTATGCAGCTGCAGGCTGAAATGTTGCCCCATGAGTGACTCTCCATCTTTGAGGCAGAGCCTTGGGAAAATACTGGTCACAGGCAGAAAACCCCCAGGTAAATAGAAGCTATCTAGCATTAGCTACACATCACAGCGATTACCCTGACAGTCACACAGAGGCAGACACCTCAATTTTGGGGAGAATGGAAAAGTAATGTCACGAGTAGTGTAACAAATTACTGTTGGTAGAGAGTAATAAGTAAAGCAATATTACTTCTTTTTCAAGTAAAAAGCAGCCCCCAGAAAAGCAGAGGTTACAAAAATAAAGTTCAAGTTTAGAGGTGTAAATGCTCCCAAGCAACCCTTCCCTCCCCACCAGCCCCAGACCCCATCCCACATCATCCCATAGACCTTGTGAAGACACCCACAAAGCCAAAAATAATAACAAAGTGGTTATTTTAATGTCGGACTTTGCATGCCGTCTTTTCATCAGAGCAGGTTTAAAATCAAAGAAACGGCCCTACAAGATAAAAACATTATCAAAAAGAACGATGCTTGTCAGCACGCAGCTTAAAGCTAAGTTCTGTCGCCTTTTTAACAGCTAAGATCTGTCAATTGTATCTAATGTTGTGCTTATTTTTATCTAACCTCATCATCTGCAGTTATAACAAGAAGAGTGAAATGTAATCACTTCAATACAAATGTATTATTCACTAAAAAAAGACAAGTGCCGTGTCTCCAAGTGCCATCAACACAAAAGCCCCAGTTCTGACTGCTGAGGCGGATGAGGCTGGTGAATCCGTAAAGACTAGGGGGTGATGGGAACTTTAGAGTGAGACCAGATTGCTTTCACAGGGCAGCTTTTGGTGATCCTCCCTCTCTGTGGTTTTGTTATTTCTTGCAGCATCTGCTCAGTGTCACATGACACGTGGAGGAGGGTGACAGACCTTATTGTCTGTCCTCACCTCATCTGATGCAGGTTTTAATACATCTACAAGCACTCCCCCTATCAGTTTTACTCACCAGCTCTCCTGGCATGCTGAAGATGGAGTAGGATAGCTAGACAAAATCTATTTTCTTGTCACAGGGGTTAGTTGTACAGTCATCCTTACCCCTGTCAGTCAGTGTTTAGCTAGCTGTAGCAGCATTGTGGTTTGAAATGCCTCACGTTTCTTCATTCTAATCTAATGCAAATATCATAAATCTAGCTTGATATGGTTCTTATTACAGGCTTAAGTGTTGTTTTGTCATACCTTTGACTGCGTCTGTCGCCATCATCAGAAGCGTCACGTGATGTTGTGGCAACATCTCCTGTAGATGTTTTATCCAGGTTGTCATTCCGGTGCCCCCTGGTGCCAGGTGCCTATCCAACAGTCCATCAGGTGACAGGGGGCGGATGATGATGGCAATGGCGAGGGATGGGGCCCCCTCATCATCCGGTGTTCCTCCAGATGATGGGGGGTGGGCCCCCCGCCATCTGACAGTCCTACAGATGACAGGGAGCACTTCTGTAACACTCCCAGGTGTGAGATAGTTGGTATGCTCCCTCATCCTGGTTTACAGATCTGGGAGCACACTTGAGGATTTCCACCACCTCCGCAATCCAACGGTGGTACTTGTTCCTTTCTATTCGAATGACTTTGGCCTCTTTCCAGTTCATGATGTGATTTTCCCTTTTGCAGTGGTCTGAGATGGCTGATTTCAGATTTTCCTGCTCCGCAAACAAGGAGTCAGGAATAACAACAGAGAAGAGGAAAAGAAGAAGAGGGAAACAAATAAGTTTTGTTGCATGATAGGCATGGGATCTCATATATGACATTACATTTCTTCTCGGGGTCAATCTGGTCTTTCTGATGTACAAGAATCTGGCGCAGTTTTGTGTGTGGTTTTACAGGTGTGTTTATACGGTGTTTGTGCAGAACTCTTTGAATGCGCTCTGTAACCTCCCTGATGTATGGTAGGGTGACCATGCCCCGGGTTTCCTTCTATCAGGGAGACAGTTAGGAAAATCTGAAATCAGCCATCTCAGACCACTGCAAAAGGGAGAATAACATCATGAACTGGAAAGAGGCCAAAGTCATTCGAAGGGAAAGCAACAAGTGCATTGCGGAGGTGGTGGAAATGCGCAAGCATGCACCCAGAACTGTAAACCAGGATGAGGGAGCATACCAACTATCTCACACCTGGGAGACAGTGTTACAGAAGTGCTCGCTTTTGTTTGTAGGACTGTCAGATGGCAGGGGGCCTCATCCCCCATCATCTGGAGGAACACTGGATAATGGGGGGCCACACCCCTCGCCATTTGATACACTATCTGATGGCGGGGGGGCCCTGTCGCCTGATGGACTGTTGGATAGCAGGGAACCACTCAGGTGGAATGACAACCTGGATAAAACATCTACAGGACACATGACCACAACATCACATGACGGTTCTGATGATGACGACAGACGCAGTCGTCGAAACTGTCAAGGTATAACAAAACAACACTTAAGCCTGTAATAAGAACCATATCAAGCTAAGCGTAAAAAGTAGGCTATATGAATTTGTTTGGACTATCATAAAGCAGATTGGAACAGTATCATTACTGATAAAAAATATATATACTTGGTCCACAAAAGTACTTTCATACCAAAAAATCAGCATTTGTCGGGGAACTCGAGGGGAAGGATTGAAACACACAAGGGACAACAGACAGGAGAGGACCACTCTAACTTAACACCCATGCTTAAATCATTTTGTGCAGGAAAGTTATGCAACAACCAGAATTACTGACCATTTCGGAAGCAGCAGTCGCTGACAGGGTGATGATATCTCTCTCAGGAAGGGAATCAAAATTATTTCATATCTACAGGCTGACAAATTACGTGACCTCCCCTGCACATTTAAATGTTTTTTTTCGAGCATGATATCCTATGCTTTAATCTAAATTGAGCTAATGCCTGCAGTATTAATTATCACCCACGTCTGCTCAGTATCTGCTGGAGGAGTATCAAACTGAATTCACAGGCTAGAGGTTTTTACCTAGAACATTTGAAACACTTAGGAATGTATTCTGCTGTAATATACTGTGATAAACAGAGATAAACTGTTGTGGGAAAAAAACATCTGATATGAAAATGTTGCTTCACTTGTGTTTCTCAACATTTGCTGCAGTTTCAGTGTCTCTGTCGGACATGAGGATGAGGTGCGCTTTGTTCTGTGTGCTGGGGATATTCTGTGAGTACATCATTAACATTCTGTGTTAGAACATTATTGCACTAAAATGAACAGAAATTTGACTCTTTTTTATTATTACATGTTTTTTGTCAACATCATTTTTGGAGTGGCTAGTGACTTTGCTCTAGAGTGGATTATTTTAGTGGATACATTTGAAAATTGTTTTAATTGCTATGAAAGTAATAATAATTTGATACCTATGCACTATAAAACTAAAGCTGCCAATGCCTGTGTTCATTTCTTTAATATTTCAGTCAGTTTAATCATGTCTAATTAAGTTTCAATTCTTATTTAAGTGCTGAATACACGCCTCTATGGACACGCTGAAGGTGACTGCACAATCTTTATTGTTTTTCCTTGTATTTAAATAAGATTAATCTCTACCTACCAAATTACTCTAAATCACTGCAGAAACTTAATCATATATTATAAATAGCAAAAGGGATTTGCTAAACAAGGATTCGTATTATTAAAGGTGGTTTTCACTACAAACCCTCTGATAATGTAATATAATGAGTTTTGCACTGCATCTTTGGTAATAATTACCTAAACAGCATTGCAAAAACACTGTCAAAGATGCTGATTAAACTATTTGTTCTTTATTTTTCCTCGTTGGTATTTCTTCAATGTAAACAGAGACAAAAAGGCCTGTTGTGACCTTACAACCCAACTGGCCGAGGATATACATAGGAGAGACGATCGCTCTCAGATGTGAGATAAAGAAGGGAGGAGGCACCGACTGGGAGTACGAATGGAGAACAACCAGCTCGATAAAACCTCCAAATGAAAATCCGTATAACATGAGTGCTTATGTATTTCACAATGGACAGTACAGCTGTATTGGCAGAAACACAAACAACCAGTCGTCAACAAAGTGGAGTAATAACTTCAAATTGACAGTCCATGACTGTGAGTCAATTCAAATGTAATGAATATTTGTATTATAAATACATATTATATAGTTTAGTTACAGTCCTTATGAAAACATTTTAGGACAATAAATATAAAAATGCTAAAAGTACATCATAACATGTTCTCATTCTGAATTCCTAACAGATTCACCTCAGCCTGACCTCACTGTGTCGCCATCATGGCTGAGTCCTGGAGCCTTAGTAACTCTGAACTGTAAGGTTGAACGTGCATCTGCAGGATGGAGGTTCTACTGGTATAAGGGCATTCGCAAACAGTCAGAAAATGTCTACACTTACAAGCCTCTACCTGGTAGCATTAATGGGACTGAAGAGGATTCCTACATTGTCCATGTACAGACACACACCACTAGATATTACTGTAGAGCTGGAAGAGGAGATCCAGTGTATTACACTAAGTATAGTGGACGTAGGTTTGTCTGGTCTGGAGGTCAGTATGTTCGTTTTTTGCTATGTTTCTGTCACAAAGCGGGCAAAGCTTCATTTTTAACCAACCACTCTGCATCACTGCTTTTAGTGGAACTCCACACTAATTTTACCCTCACTCCTCTGTTGCATTTAAAAATATTTGAGGATGTAGTTAATCTTTAAACTCAGTTGTAACTGTTCCAGATTAAAGTTTCACCAAAAACTGAGGAGGGTTTTTTAAACGTTCCACCTCTTCCAAATCATCATAATTGATGTATGGCTAAGTCCCGCCAGAGATACTGGATGAAGGGAGATACCCAACTGTAGGCTTATCCAATGTTAAGATAACGGTTACTCTTCCTGTCTCCTAAGTGGGCGTGGTTAGCTCTCCCTCCAATCAGAGCCTGTTCTCCCTCACAGAACTCAAACAAAGTTACCTTTCTCTTGATCTGTGCGGACGAATGATTTTCCTCATTGACGACAATACATTCAGAGCTGCCGCAAGTCTCCTACGGGGGCGTGTCGCTGACGTCACTGAATCAGGAAGTGAGCTGAGTTGGGTATCTCGCTTCATCCAATATCTCTGGTCCCGTGGCCTGAATAGAATAGAATATAATGTCTATAGCCTTACTGTTGTGTACAGCATTTATAGACTGAGCTGAGTAGTGATGCGCTGGTCGACCCATAACCTGCGGTTCGGGCAGCAGTGATTGTCTGTTAAATCGGTCTGTAAATGATATTTTGACATTATTGGCTATTACTGTCATGGCATCCGAAGGTACTGACGTGTTGAGCAGGTGACAGTCCGCGGTCGTTTTCAAAACACACTTGTGTCACGCACTCCAAAAGAAACTTGTTGAATCTTTAAACAATAATTTATTGTACAAAACGTGGAAAACAAACGTTGACAAAAATGGTTCCATAGTTCATATTAAATTCAAAAGATAACGAAAAAACAGCTACAAGTTAGAGGGAATAGTGATAAAGTGGTAAAACTTGGCATTGATCCACAGCAACAGACGGATGCGCACAAGCGTGCCGTGCGCACAAGCTCCGTTGGTAGGTGATACTATATTTTCACATTTTTAACAATGCAGTTTAAAAGTTTTGATTTTTATTGATAACCTACATTTACCAACAACAACAACAACAAAAAAAAACTAAATACAAAAACGAATATTGAATACCAAATTTTCATAACGAATACCTACCCATAGAAACGAATATTCGAATATCCGAATATTTGGGTACAGCCCTAGTGCGTATAGCCATTCCCATACACTCGGACATTCATTGAAATGCATTACAGAAAGTCAGTTTTGTTTGGTTTTATAAGCTTTTTTGGAGATTTGAAGTTTAACAATGGTCAAATGGTGTGCATGCGGTACATACAACTCTGGCACAAGGTATCCTGAGAGGGTGGGCGACGAGGTGTATTTTTTACGCTTTCCTAAACCACATCTCAACCGAGAAAAGTGTCTCCTTTGGATAAAGTTGTGTGGTAACGTTAGACCATGCCAAAATAGTCAAAAAACACGCACATCCCAAGGTCCATTTGGAGTGGGTGCTGGATACATATGTATAAAAGTCATGAAAAACGGAGAAAACGTACCACACACCAAGTCTCAGCTCCCATTGAAGGCTTTTTTATTTGCACTGTGACGTTTCAAGCACGAGCCTTGTGCTCGAAACGTCACAGCGCAAATAATAATAATAAAAAAAAGCCTTCAATGGGAGCTGAGACTTGGTGTGTGGTACATTTTCTCTGTTTTTTTGTAACGTTAGACCACATCAACTCAACGTGAACAATGATGTCTACATCTGTTCTAAGGTAAGTCAACATTGTGTTTGAGGCAACATATTGTCACTTTGCTGGAAAGAAATATAAAGTTATCTTTAACATTTCTAGCTAACGTTAGCTAAAGTTAGCCTAACGTTAGCTCCTAGCTGCGTTGTTCATCATGTCACCTTGTGTACTGGGAGTTCATTAGCCTATTTTGTTCTAGTTTTGTATTTTGGTGATCGTACATCATTGTTAGCTGTTGTCCAAAGGGCTCTAGTTAAGCTAACGTTAACTTCTGGAGCTTAGCTTCATTAATTTATCTGTAATCGCAGAGAAAACAAAGGTTGGCAAACGTTATGCTGAATGATTCAGTGTAAATACTGTAGCACCAAACTAATGGAGAGACACTCTTGGTAAAGATGGTAAAAAGGCTGTTATCCTTTTCTCATATTCTGAGCCAAAAACCTTAACTTCAGTGGCACTTTAACTTGTTGTCTTTGATGGCAATGGCAACGAGATGCAGTTTATCACGCTTACCCTGTGACCTGTAAATTTTGGCTTGTAATTTAAGCTTTAGTTCGACCTTCTCAACAATAAAATGATGAATATATCTCTCCAATGCGTAGTTTAGGCCCTTTTGGTTACTTCTCAATGACATCTGATCGTTATGTCTCCAAAAATCATCTATTCCCTCCTGCGAAATACCGTGTACTGTGACACGTGCCATTGCGCCGGTCACTGAATGTTGATTGTTTGTCCGAGCAAGTGGAGGGGGGCGTGGCTTAGCCATAGGTCAATTGCTGTGAACTAGTGATGGCCAAATGAGGCCTAATGAACTACTGTCTTTAATCTCTGAAGCCACTAGATGGCACTGTCTGTTCAACAAAGGTTTGAAAGCACACTTCATTGCAAGTCCTTCGGCTTTTATCTTTAAACCAAAAGCGCCATCTGGTGGGGTCAGAAAATAAAGAAAGTGGTTCATGAAGCTTCATTTGTCCGTCACTACTGTAACCCATGATTAAGTCTTTATTTTTTTAGCTTGAAAACTGAGAAAGCATTGCCCATGTAACATGAATACATGTCTGTAAATGTTACTTAAAACCCTTTCATACATAGGACAATATCTCAAACATTTTGGGTTGATTCAGTATCTTGTGTTATTTTTTTAGAGTTCAACCCAGCAGCGTCTCTCACAGTGACTCCTGACAGAGTGCAACACTTCTTCTCTGAGTCCGTCTCACTGAGCTGTGAGGGAAACGCCACCAAGTGGAAAGTGATGAGATATACTGAAACAGGCCAGCTGTCACACTGCTCTGGCTGGGGAAGAATGACTGGATCCACATGCAACATCCACAGCTTACAGTATGGTGATGGAGTGTACTGGTGTGAGTCTGGATCAGGAAAGTACAGCAACGCTGTCAATATTACTGTACAATGTATGTTTAATTATGCAGTTCTTAAAGTTTTCATATTTTTTGGCGTTTCAAGTTCCAGACGTATTGATAGACTGATCATCTCATTACAATGCAATGTTCTGCTAGGGGTTGTTTGGTGTTTGCATTCATGTGAATGCCCCTTGACACACTCCACCCATCCAAACACCACTGCTGATCAACCTCATCCCCTCATGGCAACGGCACTCCACAATGGCAGTGGGTGCCTCAGCAGGACATTGCACCATGCCACACTGCAGAAACTGGTCTGAGGAGCGTGACAAAGAGCTCAAAGCATTGACTTGGCCTCCAAATCCCCCAGATCCCAATATGATCTAGCATCTGTGGGATGAGACCCTAGAGGTCCCGTGTCCATGCCTCAACAGGTCAGAGCCAAATTCAATCCATAGTGGGCCCTCTGAACTAATGAGGCATGGACACAGCTCTCCAGTGGGTGTCCTGGGTTATCTGGCACCAAGCATTGGCAACGGATCCTTTGAGTCCTGTAGGTTGTGAGGTGGGTTACCGGCATATCCAATTGATGCTTGATTGGATTGGGAACTTGACACCTTGAGCTCTTTGTGTGTTTGTAAGTTCCTCAGGCCATTCCTGAGCAGTTTCTGTGGTGTGGCATGGTGCATTGTCCTGCTTGGCGGACACTGCCATCAGGGAGTGCCGCAGTCATAAGGGGGGGTTATTTGGTCTGCTGTATTTGGGTGGGTGGTGTGTTTCAAGTGGCATCCACATGAATGTCTGGACCCAAGGTTTCCCAGCAGAACATTGCATTGTTTCAAGGTGATTGATGTTATTCCCTTGATCTGTCAGTGGTTTTACAATTGTGGCGGATTGGTGTTATATTCATAGAAGGGAATTACGGGTTTTGCAATATTGCCCTTTGAAATGAATCAAAAACAGGGAACAACATTCACATTTACATTTTTGTAAATGTAAATAACTGATCTCAAACTACTGCCTCTATAAAACGTCCTGACCAAAAATGAAGTACAAGATTTAAAATTAGGGATGTCCCAATCACATTTTTTTGCCCCCGAGTCAGAGTCCGAGTCATTTGATTTTGAGTATCTGCCGATACAGAGTCCCGATCCGATACTTTGGCAATGCAGTAAAATTTTTTACTGTAGATTAACTGTATCATCCCACTATTTTTCTGTTCTTTGTGCTCTACTAGGGATGTAACAATATCACAATCTCACAATATTACAATACTGTACCCCAATAACAAGCCCATGACATTTATTGCAGTATTGTAAGACATGTCATGATATCAAAACCTCACTGTATGATAATAGTACAGTAGCTCCACTGTATAATATTAATTCCATTATCCATTAGTCAACAACAAGAACATTTGGTCAAAAATAAAATAGCTTATCATGCCTTTCTCAATCACCAGCCTCTTTCCCTTTATCCCTCCCTCACCTGCCTGTCTGCCCCCACCTCACTCCCCCCACCCCACCCCACCTAGCTCCTTTTCCCTCACTCATACCCTCCCTCCCTCCCTCACCCAGCTCCCCTCACTCCTTCTCCCTCTCTAACTTTAAATAAATACCTGGTTCTGTATCTGCCGTCACACAACAGTGTGAGAAGTTTAACGATGTCCGCGACATCTGCTCAGTCTGTCCGTGTGTCTGTCTCACGTACGTTACGTCTGACTCGCTCTCAGTAGAAGCTGCAGTGACTGTTGTTGCTGCTGGGGTCTGTAGTGCTCAAACATCAACAACAACAGCTGCTTGGAAGTCAGCAGTGAAACAATTCAGCCACACACACGTACTAAACAGTCAGCTGACACGGTGACACGGACGATCGTCTCTCACACTCTCGCAAGCGCCGTCATTTCATATCGTTACATGTCCGCGACGACGCAGCCACACACACATGGACGTGCACGAAAAACAAGCGCGTTGCACCGAAGGCGCGCTGCTGGCGTCGCTTTGGGTTATGAGCGCACATGACGCACGTCTACAGTAAAAGTAATGGGTTTGAGAGTGCAAAAGAGCTACATCTGAACGCCCCCCATGCGGCCCGTCTTGCTTTAGACAAATAGGGAAAACCCTGACATGTATCTGATATGTCATAGGCCTATATCCGATCCCTGATAGGGATGTAACTTCCGATTCCGATCGAGTCTGAAACCACGTGATCGGCCCCGATTTCCGATCACGTGATCGAATCGGGACATGCCTATTTAAAATCACCAAACACATTTCATTATGTAAACTCTCTTTTTTCTGCTGTAGCCAGTGATATGTGTGATTTGTAAAACAAAAAAAAAATCATCAAAAGGTTGCTGTTATGCACAGTCAAACACGTCACACACACAGCACCGCAGCACAGCACACATACTCAATTGGAGTGGAGTTAATAGACACACTCGTAATCACCTGCATTGATGACTAAATCGAAATGCCTCCATACTGCCATTTTCCCTGCATGGTTTACGGCAGTTTTAAACTTTCCTGATAGCAAGTTTTATCTAGCGGCCTCCATTTCCGTTAGTTCAGTCTGAATATTTACCGCTTCCTGCCTGAAATGTAACTATTGGCCTGTGTTGCGTTACGGCGTTGTCACATAAATAACAAATTCTAGCACTTGCATAGGCCATAGCACAACACAGCAGCATGTGAAGTGGGCTGAACCTGAACCAAACCCGAGCAAAATTTCTGATTTGTTATCCAAACCCTGTCCAACCCATCAGATTCTAACGGGTCCCATGTGGCTCAGGTCCAGTATCCACACTCTAACGTTAGTAACAAACGTACTTATTTTAAGCCAAACCTTTATGGGGTAATCACATACTGTTGTTCCCTAAACCTTAGTGAGTAAACCTAAATATGAAGTTTTTTGTTGTTATTTTTTTTTTTTTACATTCAAACTTGTTTTTGAAAATGGAAGTTTATTTTAGAAATACACAATGCGTGTAATGAGTGTAAACTGACACGTCATCCCTGAGCGTCCAAAACTGATGTCGGAGGGGTATCTAGAGCATCATAGTTTAACATGAAAGTTCACTGACCAAGCGTCTGTATTTGACAAGTTGGGAGTGTGAATATGTAGCTTCAAAACTGTTAAATCAGTAACTGATGTGTTGCAGTTATATGTTGTTTTAATAATACGGTGTCTTTCTGCAGCGCCCAAGCCTGAAGACCGTTCATTTCTTCTGCCACTGCTCACTGGGGTCCTCACTGGAGCTTTATTGGTTATCCTCCCACTCTTGCTGTATCGCTTCATGAAGTCCAATGGTGAGAGTAAAATTACTGCAGAGTTCTCATGACACTGAAGAGAATATTTTGCAATTAAAGAAAAACAAACAAAAAAACAATGTCTTTTTTTAATTTACAGATTTATGTTACAGCAGGTTGGTGCAAAGTTATTTTCTCTCACTTTGAACTCAGTAATACTTATAATGATTCCTGCTAAATGTACCGCCATTTCCATATTTTAGATCCACGCAGTGTCAGACCACCAATCAGGATGAACGAGTCCACCGGGATGAAATGCAACAGCAAACATACTCTTCTCTTCTTGAAGGTCTGAATGCTTTCACAGCTGTATCTGATATCGCTGCTGGTTATAAATGCTGCAGTCTTCAAGACTGGGCCTCATTTTTTGAAAATGTTCCTCCAAGATTACCCTCCAACAGCATTCCCTCTGCTGCAGGCTTAACACCGGTGAACTTAACTAAACCAGTGGTTAAAATGTTGCCCAAAGTCAGTCTTCAGTAGAAAAGTTTAATTTTGTATCACAGAGGTGAAGTCACTAATTTGACTTGTCTTTATTTTCAATAACCTGTAGGTGACGTTTGTATCTACGAATCAGTGGGTGGTTGTGAAGACACTGGAAAGGGTACAGTACAAACGATTTTAATGTGGAAATAATCTGTTTTATTTGTCTTTTATATGGACAAAGTTAAGAATACAATGACGCCACATTCAATTCAATCATCTCAAAGGTCTTGACAAGAGGAGTAAGCATGAGGAGCCAGTGGACACGAATGTACCATGAATCAATGTTAAACTATAGGTACGTTAACAGAAGCTGTTCATCACCTGAGTCTAAAATTTTCATTTAAAATCTATCATCATCTTTAAAATTTCATGAGCGATAATTTAAGGTAACTATGCAGTGGTTATTTGTACCACCTCAAAAATAACTGGTGCACAGCATCTATGTATTGTATTGTAGTGTGTAAAAATATTAGCTGTGGTTTCCTTCCTGTCTAAATTTGGCTATCAAAGCAATATATCTCTGTCAGACAAACTGTGAAGCTGAGTTGTGTATGTTTGTGCTGAGCAGCAGTGTCTTGGCTTGTTTCTTCTCTGGTTCATAGTTTGGCAATAATGATACTCATTACCTGGAGAGGTTGGAAGAAGATATACGTTTCTTCCCTGTTCCAAAACCAAAGTCAAACCCTGAAAAGTATAGGGTTAGCTAGCTAGCTACTGAAGATATAGCCTACTGAATGTATACACATGCTGCTTTTGGTTTTTAATGATTATAACAGTGAAACAAAGACCGACCCTGCTGTCAAGGAACCAGTGAAGGGAAGCAGGGAAACTTTGCTGATATTTAACCAGCTGTGTGTCATCTCCGTGTGTGCAGATGAACATTGTTTGGTCTCCCCCAGAGCTCTCCATCCGTCCGCAGGTGGAGGTTTGACGGCTGGTGCCACAGGGGGAAGCCAAACACTGTTCATCTGCACACAATGCGATGGACCGAGTTAGACAGCCTGGATATATCCTTCAAACACAGACTGTAGACCACTCTGTCTCCTTCTCCCTGAAATTGCTTTGTCATTTTTCCAAAAAGTTGCTAACATTTCTTCAGGGAGTGCAGTCACGCGCGGAATCCATACTCACTCCGACAGCTTGATGGACCATCACAAAGGGGCAGGGCTTAATAAAGGGTCAATTTGATCTCTGGCTCCTCCAGTTCACATGTCGAAGTATCTTTGAGCAAGACTGAACCCTATTATAGACTTGCTCCCGATGCCTGTTTCATCGGAGTGTGAGTACGTTTAAGCTGAGTAGTAGGTGTCACCTTGTATGGTAGCCTCAGCCACCAGTGTGTGAATGGGTGTGAAAGGGTGGATGTGACATGTAGCGTTAAAGTGCTTTGAGAGGTCAGAAAACTAGAAAGATGCAGTCCAAGTGCAGGTCCATTTACCATTAACCAACCCGTGTTCAGTACAGTTTTGTCTATTTTTCAGCTTTTTTAAATTTATTTATTTATTTTTATTGTGTCTTTGTTCCAGGTCCATAAAGTGAAGTGCATCATCAACAAAACAAGTGAGGCACAAATGACAACTTGAAGAACGTAATGTTTATGGTGGTTTCTGCAGTAGTCCAACTGCTCCTGAGATTTCTTAGTACTTTGTAGTCTCTTAGTACTTGTGGAGTTCAATAGTAGATTATATGAAATAATTTAACCTCCTGTTGGTGTCAGCTTAAATTGCAGGACTGTTGAGATGTTTTGCTTTTAGATTCATTGATATATCTTCTTTTTTATTATCTTCTTTTTTATTTTGTTGCCACTTAACCCCCTGAGGACATCACATTTTGGGTTTGTTTGACCTTATACTTCATTCTACTCAACTCAGAACTATTGTCCTCATTTGCTGTCCACTATTTTGTGCCATCTAGTGGTAGTAAGAGCACAATACACTAATCCATGTAAAAACAAGATGGCAGCCATCTCTGCCAAGTCAGTCTGCAAGTGGACAAGGTCCAAAACTTGATCACATTTTATGGTTAAAACTTGTTTTGTTATGATTGATAATGTTTGTAGTTTGATATGGCAACAAATTTGACCAATTATAGCAACAGTAAAAAGACAAGACATTGGAATTAGGAAGTACCCTTTGAGGACATTGAGAGTTTATTATTGTCTTGTATGACGACATTAGGACTTAATTATCACTCCACAGACCATGAATGGGACCCTGTTTTTGTGACCCTACAGAATGTTTGTTTACTTTTTTATACCCAAATGAGCTTTATTCTAACGAAATGTTCTCAGCTCTGAAACAGAAAATGTACCCATATACTCAGAACATTGCCCTGGCTACTCTCAGTGTCATCTATAACATCTTTCCTAATTCACTGTCTATGACGCAGCTCCAGACTTCATACCCTATGACAGTGGGTCCCAACTGGTGGGTCACAGTCCCAGTGTGGGTCGTGGGTTCATTCTGAATAGAATGCAAGTGACTCGCAAACATGTTAAGTTTGTAAAAACACACACTTAATTTTTTACGTACAGTGAATTTCCGGCACAAGCTTCTATGTGCTAACTTTGTGGACCTTGAACTAATGACTACGGAGAAATCTGGACCGCGTGGTTTGACCACTCGGGAATCACTGCCCTATGAAATTACAAGTTTTAGTTTTAGCACTCTAGTTTTGGGATTTTGGAGGGTTGTTCATGTTTCCCTTATATTTTTGGACTGTCTTAGACCATAGGAATAACATATAAACTGAAGCCAAAGGTGCATTTGCTACATACAAAATTTCCCAGGTGATCAGCACTGTTTCCGTACTGTGTCGCCCACACAGCAAGCACACTATAGACTTCCTTAGGTCAAGCGGTTAAAAGGATAGTGCACCCAAAAATGAAAATTCAGCCATTATCTACTCACCCATATGTCGAGGGAGGCTCAGGTGAAGTTTTAGAGTCCTCACATCACTTGCGGAGATCCCAGGGGAGAGGGGGTAGCAACAAAACTTCACCTAATGGAGGCTGGGCGCCCCAGAATCAAACGTCCAAAAAACTTGAAACCACAAAATATCTCCATACTGCTCGTCCATAGTGATCTAAGTGTCCTGAAGCCCCGACATAAAAAGTTGTTTGGAAAAACGTCATATGAACTCTGTTTTTAGCCTCATTGTAGCCTGTAGCTCTGACTGCCTCTCTGTGCACCGAGCTCACGTGTGCGCAAGACTAGCGAAAGCACATGAATGATGCATGATGTCATGCATAATGTTTAATTTGTGTTACTATGCAATACTATTTTAGATTGCTTATTAATGATGTGAAAAGAAAACTTGTTTTCATTCATTTGGGCATAAAGTGTTAATGTTCTCTTTATGTAAAAAAGGCAGCTATGCTTGTTTTCTTTTATTTAATGGTCAAATTATGTACTCATAAGTATCATTATTGCATCTTTAGATTCATTATTATGTTAAGTAGTTGTGATAGAAAGATTATTGTCAAATAAAGAAAATACACTCTCAGGAATTAATCTGGTTTGTGTTTCAGTTTTTATAAATTATATCATATAACCCTCACCAAGTACTTCCAGTCGGCTGATATGTTGATCCTACTGAATTCACAAAGGGACTTTAAAGACATCATGGACTAACCTAAAAAATAATGTTTAAATTAGACAATAATGAAGACAGACAGAGCTTCTGCAGAGACGTGCTCCAGAAGAAACACCACTATAGTATATAGTGTATATATATATATATATATATATAGTATATAGTATATATATATAGTATATATACTATGGGCTGAACAGAATTTCAGTAATGTAGAAATATCTGCCAAGATATGATTAAAGGGGCAATAAGCGAAATCGTTTAACCGCTAGGTTCGCTGTTGTGCACTGCCTGTAGAGCAAAACAAAGTGTGTCATGAGCCAAAACACAGTGGGCCATGGCCCCTCTGATACAATGCCTGGCCCTTCCACTGCCTCCATGTCAATCCTAAAATTCAGTTATGGCTTTTGGTTTGGTGTGCTACCTGAAGATTTCCCTGTAAATAAGTGCCACTGGTCACTGCGGTAAATCTAACACCTTGTAACAGATGTGGTTACTGGTTACTGCTCGTCATCACACAATGAGCAGGCAGGTAAACAACAGTGAGACAGTTTTTTGGTTCAGGGCCTTCCAAGACACAGGTTCAGTCACAAACAGCACAAGAACAGTTCAAAGTGTGCAGTTTTACTGTGAGGTAGCAGACAGGAGGCGACAGCAGATGAACAGAAGGTCCGATACCAGGTGAACATAGGGAAGCCAACACACCTGTGAGGCGCCAGTTGTAGGTGGGTTGTAACTGGTGGGGAGTCGAAGAACCAGCAGTGATGAGTGGATTTTGCGGCGTGCACACAAAGGCAGAATGTGCAGACATGTGACACGGTAATCCACAGCACCGGAAATCACAGGCAGCAGAAAAGGTAAACTCACAACGGAGAGCTGACTAGCAGTCTCTCCACACAGCTATGTGAAACAGGCAAAGAGAAACCAGGAACATGGAAACAGAGTTCCTGGTTGAGGACAGAAGGCTGAGTGGTTTACCGGGGAGCAGATGAAGCAGAAGAGTCAGAGACAGGCGTGGTCGGCAACAAGATATCAGTCTGGGAACTAACACTGGAAAGACTTGCATAGAAATGACAAACAACAATCTATTGTGGCAGGGGGCAATGAGGCACAGGTGAGATAAATTGGCTTGATGAGGTGGGTGTGGTGGACCGGCAGGAGTGGAAGATGTGTGGATAGGTAGGTGTGGTGAAGAGGTAAGGTTAATGGAAATTAACTGGGTTAACTGAGAGAATGGCATGTATGGCAGGTCAGAAGTGCACACTGTGACACATTTAGTTTTTGTCACCTGCCAATAAAATCTAGTGTGATGGTAGATTTGTAAGATTAAATTTAAAACAGCTGGCTGTAAAAAAAAAAAAAAAAACTAGCTGATGATGTCTTACTCAGCTCTAATCTGTTTAACTTTTTTTTATCAGGCGTAGCCAGAGTTCAAGTTCTGCTTCCTGTCCCACTCACCGGCCATCTCTAACTTGTCAGAGAAGGAAGCAGACGTTCCCCTACCCACAAAGATGGCTGGTGTTTGCCTCCGATACGCGATCTGCCTCTTGACATACTGTGCTCTGCAGCTGTTTTGGCTCTTCCTCCATGGTGTGTATGCCTCTGCTCAGTCAGACTGTGCAGTTTTACTATTACAAGATGTATTTATTGGCCTGATGCACTCTTTCATGAGTTTAGATTTGTACAGCCAAAGCATACCGGTCAAGCTCATTGTATTTCCTGGATGTGTGTTTACAGTTACAGGCAAACTACTTTCAAGTATTATCCTACTGCATTTTTTTGACTCATGTAAAATGATGTTTTACATCTGCAAATGTTTTCATTAAGAAATCCTAATTTTTAAAAGACAAAGCCCCTTTTTCCTTCCTTCTTTCCTCTCTCTTTGTAAACATTAAAGAACATTTAGCAGCCATAATATCAAGATCAATTTTACAGTGGCAAAAAGATCAATCAATCAATTCAATCAATCAATTTTATTTATAAAGCCCAATATCACAAATCACAATTTGCCTCACAGGGCTTTACAGCATACGACATCCCTCTGTCCTTATGACCCTCACAACGGATAAGGAAAAACTCCCCAAAAAAAACCCTTTAACAGGGAAAAAAAACGGTAGAAACCTCAGGAAGAGCAACTGAGGAGGGATCCCTCTTCCAGGACGGACAGACGTGCAATGGATGACGTACAGAACAGATCAGCATAATAAATTAACAGTAATCCGTATGACACAATGAGAAAGAAAGAGAGAGACAGAGAAAGAGACAGAGAGAGAAATGCAGGTAATGACAGTAGCTTACAACAACATTATTGAAAGTAATAATATCATAGTTATAGTTCTGGCTACTGTGGTACAATATGTTGAAAGTATGTATTAATATCTGGCAGTATACATGTGTGACAATAGTCATATGTGTATAATAACAGTAGAAGTATGACTAATGACAAATGATGGCAGCAGCAGCAGGAGGCATCTGGCAGGACCATGGCAGCAGCACAAACACACACGTCACGCTGTCCAGGCACCGCTGCGGTATGAGTTAATCAGAGAGACAGTGGAGCACAAAGGCTCCGGAGAAGAAGCCGAATTAGTGACATCCAGAATGGCCGAGTTAGCAAGATGCAGTAATAGGATACGAGAGAGAGAGAGAGAGAGAGAGACCGGTGTATTATAGGGGTGTCCTCCGGCAGACTAGGCCTAAGTCAGCCTAACTAGGGGCTGGTACAGGGCAAGCCTGAGCCAGCCCTAACTATAAGCTTTATCAAAGAGGAAAGTCTTAAGTCTAGTCTTAAATGTGGAGACGGTGTCTGCCTCCCGGACCGTAACAGGAAGATGATTCCACAGGAGAGGAGCCTGATAGCTGAAGGCTCTGGCTCCTGATCTGCTTTTGGAGACTTTAGGGACCACGAGTAACCCTGCATTCTCAGAGCGCAGTGTTCTGGTGGGATAATATGGCACTATGAGCTCTCTAAGATATGATGGAGCTTGACCATTTAGAGCTTTATAAGTTAACAGTAGGATTTTAAATTCAATTCTGGATTTTACAGGGAGCCAGTGCAGAGAAGCTAAAACAGGAGAAATATGATCTCGTTTCTTAGTTCCTGTTAGTACACGTGCTGCTGCATTCTGAATTAGCTGGAGAGTTTTTAAGGACTTACTAGAGCTACCTGATAATAGAGAGTTACAGTAATCCAGCCTAGAGGTAATAAAAGCGTGGACCAATTTTTCTGCATCTTTTCGGGTCAGGATAGGCCTAATTTTCGCAATATTACGCAGATGAAAAAATGCAGTCCGTGAGGTTTGTTTTAAATGAGAATTAAAAGACAAATCTTGATCAAAGATTATACCACTCTGTTGTTTGCTCATGTGTTTCAGATGTGGAGGCTTCCAGTTGTCAACGTGTCATCCATAAGAAAGTTGGAGACACCGTGGAGTTGTCATCCTGCTTACCAACTGAAGAGGTCATAATGGCACTCTGGAGATATGGATCGTCAATAATTGCAGAAAAAGATAAGAAACTTTCTGAAAACCATCAGTTCAAAGGCAGATTAGACTTTAACCCCACAACCTTCAGTTTAACAGTGAGAGAACTGACTCTCCAAGATTCTGGTGATTATCATTTTGCCTCTGCGGTGACTGGCAAACAGAGGGGAACAGTCATCATCACCCTGCAAGTTCACGGTAGGATTTCTCTGGTTTTGTCAAACTTTATGTTGTCAAGTAAATGTTTCAAAGTGCTATTGCTGCAATATAGCGTACTTGGAAGAAACCAATCTCCCCCATCGACATGTGCAAGGTTAATTTAAGTCCGAATTTTAAGTCAGAAACTTGACCCACGCAGAGTGACATTTTCATCATTTATATTACTTTATGTCGTGTTTGTGTTGTTAAACATTCTGTAACAATGTTGTAGCATCCACGCATGCTATTGGCTTTGGTGGTTCTAGGGGCTTACACTTGGCATCATTTACACTATGTTGAGCTGCTGTAAGCTATTTTAATGAGCAACTTTGAGAAACACTAATTATATGTGCTGTTTCTTTTCTGTAATGGTGCCATGGTTACTGATGTTGCTGTAGATGCTGTAGATGAAGCTCAGAGACCTTACATAAATTTGCGGCAGGTGTCCATGTTTTCCCGAGCATACACACTGGGATGCATTTAGATTCGAAGTTGGGAATGCTGAGTCCGAGCTATCGCCTTTTTACTTTCAATGGATTGCAGCATATTTGCTAATTTAAAAGCATTAAGGGGAATTTAGTAATTTATTCTCAAAGCAACTCAGCCCAAACTGAAATGCCATTGTCCAGTTGTTTCAAAGAGGCACACAAGATATTTACTCTAACATGCTAAATTCAGAGAGGAAATTCCCCTCCAGAAGACATCTTCAGGATGTTTTTGTTACGCCCCCACTATTACTGTCTTTACTCTCTGTCCGCTGTCTCATTAGAGACCATTACTAAAGAGCCCAACGTCTTTTTCAATTCCACCTGGCACCCCTCAAATGAATCCTGTACGGCTTTGCTGAAGTGCAGTGCACCCCCTGAAAGCAATGTCACCTACAACTGGACGGTGGGGAACCAAACTATAACTGGCTCCAGCCTGGAATACAGCATGCGACCTCAGGACGGAGAAACCAAATTCACCTGCACTATTTCCAACATTGTCAGTGAGATGTCAGCATCCAGAACCGAGAGTTGCAGCAACAATACAGCTGACCCATCTAAACCAGGTATATGCAGTGAGGTGAATATAGTTATTAGTGTTATTAGTGTCTTGGGAGTCTAATTATGTTACAGATACAGTACAGGCCAAAAGTTTGGACACACCTTCTCATTCAATGCGTTTTCTTTATTTTCATGGCTATTTACATTGTAGATTCTCACTGAAGGCATCAAAACTATGAATGAACACATGTGGAGTTATGTACTTAACAAAAAAAGGTGAAATAACTGAAAACATGTTTTATATTCTAGTTTCTTCAAAATAGCCACCCTTTGCTCTGATTACTGCTTTGCACACTCTTGGCATTCTCTCAATGAGCTTCAAGAGGTAGTCACCTGAAATGGTTTCCACTTCACAGGTGTGCCTTATCAGGGTTAATTAGTGGAATTTCTTGCTTTATCAATGGGGTTGGGACCATCAGTTGTGTTGTGCAGAAGTCAGGTTAATACACAGCCGACAGCCCTATTGGACAACTGTTAAAATTCATATTATGGCAAGAACCAATCAGCCAACTAAAGAAAAACGAGTGGCCATCATTACTTTAAGAAATGAAGGTCAGTCAGTCCGGAAAATTGCAAAAACTTTAAATGTGTCCCCAGGTGGAGTCGCAAAAACCATCAAGCGCTACAACGAAACTGGCACACATGAGGACCGACCCAGGAAAGGAAGACCAAGAGTCACCTCTGCTTCTGAGGATAAGTTCATCCGAGTCACCAGCCTCAGAAATCGCAAGTTAACAGCAGCTCAGATCAGAGACCAGATGAATGCCACACAGAGTTCTAGCAGCAGACCCATCTCTAGAACAACTGTTAAGAGGAGACTGCGCGAATCAGGCCTTCATGGTCAAATAGCTGCTAGGAAACCACTGCTAAGGAGAGGCAACAAGCAGAAGAGATTTGTTTGGGCCAAGAAACACAAGGAATGGACATTAGACCAGTGGAAATCTGTGCTTTGGTCTGATGAGTCCAAATTTGAGATCTTTGGTTCCAACCGCCGTGTCTTTGTGAGACGCAGAAAAGGTGAACGGATGGATTCCACATGCCTGGTTCCCACTGTGAAGCATGGAGGAGGAGGTGTGATGGTGTGTTTTGCTGGTGACACTGTTGGGGATTTATTCAAAATTGAAGGCACACTGAACCAGCATGGCTACCACAGCATCCTGCAGCGACATGCCATCCCATCCGGTTTGCGTTTAGTTGGATGATCATTTATTTTTCAACAGGACAATGACCCCAAACACACCTCCAGGCTGTGTAAGGGCTATTTGACCAAGAAGGAGAGTGATGGAGTGCTGCGGCAGATGACCTGGCCTCCACAGTCACCGGACCTGAACCCAATCGAGATGGTTTGGGGTGAGCTGGACCGCAGAGTGAAGGCAAAGGGGCCAACAAGTGCTAACACCTCTGGGAACTCCTTTAAGACTGTTGGAAAACCATTTCAGGTGACTACCTCTTGAAGCTCATCGAGAGAATGCCAAGAGTGTGCAAAGCAGTAATCAGAGCAAAGGGTGGCTATTTTGAAGAAACTAGAATATAAAACATGTTTTCAGTTATTTCACCTTTTTTTGTTAAGTACATAACTCCACATGTGTTCATTCATAGTTTTGATGCCTTCAGTGAGAATCTACAATGTAAATAGTCATGAAAATAAAGAAAACGCATTGAATGAGAAGGTGTGTCCAAACTTTTGGCCTATACTGTATCCATAAATGTAATGTGGCCAGTGACAATTTCTGCAATTACTATCTGACAATTACTATATAACTGCTATTGCTGTCTGAACAGTGAGAAGGACAATGTTTGAATGGTTGAAACATTAAACTAGCTATGATATATAATATATAATTTACTTTTGTATCTGTATCTTTTAAAGTATTTACAATGCATTACAGTGTGACTGCTTTTAAAAGTTTGTTTATATACTTAATTATTATTGCAGTGGCCGGCCCCTCATCTCATCTGCCGTTGATTATTGGGCGTGTTATTGGAATTTTACTGATTATTTCACTGCTGCTCTTGCTGGTTTTCTACACAAAGTCAAAGGGTAAGACCTCCTCTTGCTGATATTAGATGGGTAACACTGATTGCAACCTAGTCGACAGCAAAAATGTTGGCATTGTACGTTTCTGCAAACCACAGATACGTTACATTTGTATGTTATTATGTAGCGGCTATGTTGAAACGTTATGTTTCAACAGCACTTTGGTTAATGTGTGGTTTAGGCAAATAAACAGAAACAAAACACTAATCGTAGTTTGGAAAGGATCATGTTTTGGCTTAAAATATCTGGTTTTGGGGGCACAATCCCAGCTGAAAATGCAGCAGTGTCTTAGTAAAAAAACAACCACTTTTCATCGTTCTATCCTGGCAGAAAACACAGTGATGGCTTGATTAAGAACAACCACTTATAGTCCCGCTATCCCAACTGAGAACGCATCAGTGGCTTGGTAAGAAACAACTGTTGATAGTTCCATTATCCCAGAAGAAAACACAGCAATGGCTTGGTTAAAAACATCCGCTCTTACTTCCACTATCCCGGCAGAAAACACAATGATTGCTCCCGGCAGAAAATGCAGCGATGGCTGGGAAAAACAACCACTTTTCATTGCTCTTTCCCAGCAGCAAACACAACAATGGCTCAGTAAAAAAAATAGCTTTTTCCCCACTTTCCCGGCAAAAAATACAGCAACATCTTTTCATTGCTATATCCTGGCAGAAAATGCTATAATGTCTCATTAAAAAACAATTGTTCATAGTTCCACTACCCCAGCAAAATACACAGTGATGGCTTGGTTAAAAAGACCCGCTCTTACTTGCACTATCCCGGCAGAAAACACGACTATTGCTAGGTATAAAACATTTGCTTTTCATTGCTCTATCCCAGCAGAAAACGCAACGATGGCTGTGTAAAAAACAACCACTTTTCATTGCTCTATCCCAGCAGAAAACGTAACAATGTCTTGGTAAAAAACTACCATTTGTAGTTACACTATCCCAGCAGAAAACCCAAAAATGACTGGGTTAAAAACAAATGCTTTTCATTGCACTATCCTGGCAGGAAATGCAAAGAAAACACAGAGATGGCTTGGTAAAAACAACCACTTTTTGGGACACTATCCCTGATGGAAAAACACTGGTTGATTAAAAAAAAAAAACCACATTTAGTGCCTAGAAAGCTACTTGTAAAACAGTGATGTCTCGCTAAAACCCAACAGGTGTTGTTTGTGGGTCTCAAACAGTGGGCTGTGGAATAGGTGACACGTTATCCACCAGCCCCTTCTCCTCCCCTTTAGAAACTTTGATGAGATACATAAAAATGCAAATTGAACATTTTTGTGGTTTTGCAAAAATGCACAGTGCCATCATTTCTTCTGACAGCTGTCCTGCTGATTATCCAAATGTTTACTGAATGTTTCTGAAGTCAAATTATATGCAAACAAAAAAAACTTGTAACATTTTTGTCCTCCACAGATCTTTGGTGTAACAGGTCAGGTCACTCTTCTCTGATTTACAACTTAACAAAAGCAATATACTATACATGCTCTACTGTCGTTTTTACTTTTGCTAGTTTTTTAAAATGACTCCTAATATGCATTTTTAACTACGCGTTACAGGCTCACCCAGTCTCAAGCAGTCAGCCAAGATGAAACTCAGCAGCAGGTGTACTCCTCTCTTCTCCATTGTCAGTATTCCATCCACCTCTGTTCACTTTAAATACTATTTTAAACCTTTTAACACTGTTTTTTAAAGTTAACTATTTTCTTATCGTACACCCATAGACATCTATTAATATGATCTTACCTTGATTATCTCTGACCTGTAGCTGATGGTTCTGTCTACGAAACGATGAGAGGCTCTAAAGATGCTGAAACAGGTACAGTACACAGTAAACTTTGATTAACGTGAAGCTTTTGACAACTCAGTGGTTAAAATTTAGAGATCCTGGCAAAATATGACACTTAAAATGAATGCAAAATATGAATTTAGATAACAGCGTACTCCCATAATATATTCATATACAATCTTCTAGAAATTGGGTGCAAAATGTTGTTAACTAAAAGATATGTGTGCACAGCATTCCTCCAAACTGTGACATCTGAACATACTGTATATGCTGTGGTGTTAACACTGTCTAAATGTGGCTAAGTATGGTCAACACTTTTCAGTAAAAGGGAACTGTAAAATTAACTTACATTTCTGGCTGCTCATATTTAAAGGTGCGAAATACATATGAGATCATATCTGTCATAGTTGTTTTGGGGCATTTTTGCCTTTCACGGATAGGACAGTGTAGTGTGAAATGGGGAGAGATGTATATATATGAAACATGTCAGCTAAGGGCTGATTTGTTCCCTTGCACCAAGTCTCTTTCTTTTATTTCAATGGTCTGTAATCAGCTCTGCATCTCACGCACAGCAGGTTTCGGCCCTCCCCCCTGCGTGCAGTCAGACATTCTCTATAGCTCTATATCAGAACAAACTGAGGACATCTGTTAGATTTAGATTAGATTTTGAAGTGTAATTTAAAAAAACAAACAAACTTGATAGCATTTTGTGGGTTAATGTTGCTTAAAATGGTATCACAGATATGATGTTTAATGTAACCTTGTATTAATTATCTCTGACCTGTAGGTGATGATTGTGCCTATGAAAACACGAGAGGCTCTGCAGAAGCTGGGAAAGGTACAGTATAACTTATACCACTATTCCCCCCATTTCTCTAATTCATTCCTTCAGTCGTTTCCTCTAATTTGGTTCCAGATTCATAAAGAGCGGTGCATCATCAGCAAAACGAGAGAAGCACAGATGAAAACGGAAATTCATGTTAAAGCAGTTTTGACATAAAGTAAAATGTATGTGCATTCCTCTGTCCTCAACTCAACTGTATATACATATATAGTTGTTGTAGTATATAATGGGTTGCTTTCATTTTTTTTTTACCTTTTAAAGCTCTTTTACCATGTTGTAAGCTGAATGCTGTCAGGTTTGGGTTTTTTTTTCACATTTGTAAAATGTTCTCATGCAGGTTTACATGTTTAGCCACTTGGTGGCGTAATGTGCTTGTCCTTTCAGTTACTTGCTGCTCAGTGGTTCTTGTGATCAATTATCATTGCAGATGCATCAGTGAGTACATGCATGATGGATATCTTGAAGCATGCGCACATTTATTGTGTTTGATTGTGTAATATAATTGAATAAGCATGTTTTGTAGATTATTTTCAACAATTTAAAATGTTACATTTAAAATGTTTTTTTTTTCTCCATTTGAGCAAATTCCCTTTTGGGTTTTCAAATACTATAGATGTAGGTTGTATATGTGAGTTTTTTTTCTAATTTTATTTTATTTTTTTGGTCAGTAGCTGTGATTATTGTAATTAAATTAAGATACTTTTTTTTTATGTCAGCAAACGAGTTTTATGTCAAAATGAATGAGTAGCCATAAATAAAAAAATATACACTTTTGAACTCATGGTTCATGTTTCAGAGTTTTTCAAAAGGATTTGAGACAACAGGGCGTGCTGTTAAATGTGTCGGCTACGACTTGGTTCTGTTTCTTTGATGACTCAGTGGCCAGTGTTATTTTACTGTCACTGTCTCACTTCTCCTTTCAAAAGAAATGTCAGCAAACATGTTCACGTTAGACTCCAGGATTTTACCTAGTAAAAAGTCTGCTGGTACTTTTGAGAGCTCAAAGGGACGACTTAAAAATGAATGTCATCAAAATATATAAGGATGTTTGAAATACAAAATAGTGGTACAAAGAGGAAAATGCTGTATGAAATGTCCCTAAAATGGAAGCTGATACATTTGATCCACATAACGATCATGACTGCTACAAAAGGAAATGACCTAATTTTGCCCATTTGCTAACAAACTTTATCTTTTCAGCAGCTGTGTTCAGTGTTTAATGCTCTGCTCTGTTATACAGACAATGAAGAATATGTGCAGAATTGTGAATACATACATACATGGAGTGATACCTTATTCATTCCCATGGGGGAATTCTTGTATCCAGTAGCTCACATAAAGTCACATAAAAACCACAACAATAATAAATAAGGTGCCCATAGAAATGAATAAAGTAAAAAAAGGTCTTTAAGTCTTTAAATGACTATTTATCAATTAATTGGCTGGAGTGCCACACGTTTCTGCTGAGGGGATATCAAACACTGAACTAACGGGGTAAAAGTTTAGCATGTTCACTTTAAACCAATCAAATAATTTGTCAGTCTACTATTTATTCTGTAGAAATCACCACTCGATAACTTCATATCATATCTTTTTTATCAGCATCCCTTTGGGTAGAAGCAGAAGCAAGTCTGCAGCCACATAAGCAGCTCTGTGAGGCTGAGCTAAATGCTAACATCAGCATGCTAACATGCTCACAATGACGATGCTAACATGCTGATGTTTAGCAGGCAATCTTTGCCATTGTAATTTAATGTGCTAGTATGCTAAGGTTCAGCTTCATGGCATGCCCCCAGGAAGTGCACGAGGCTTTGAAGCCAATTTTCATAGAGGCCAAACAGTGTACTTACACCATTATGTGATGCCTTATAACCCAAAAACACCTTTTCCTATTGACTTACATGGCAAAGAGATGTCTGTAAATCAGCAGATACATTTTTTTTAGTGACAACCCTCGCAACATGAATCGTTTCATTATCGAGATTTGATCCATGTTTCAAACTGATTACAATGGAAAGTCCAAAAGAGACGCACAATTGAATCGTTTTTCGCCACTGCGGAATCAGTGCTGATCATACCAGTAATTTTATACCCCACTGAGCAACTTTTAATAGGAATGAATGTGGCCCCACCTCCAATGCTGTATCCAGGTCTTTTTATACATCCATGCTTCACTGTCAGTATGAAATTTTAGATTGCATGATGAAATGCAGTTAGTGCATACAATTAGTTGTTGTATTTGACCCATTAATTACCAGAGTCAATAGGATTTTTCCTCTCAGTCCAATGAATATTGGTACCAAAATTCAACAAATAGTTGTTACTATTTTTTAATTTGCTAAAAACTAACAAACGTCAACCTCATGGTCGCACTAGAGCAAAAATCAGTGGGTTCAGCAAAGTTAACAGGCTCCATCTTCTGGGTCGTTGGAGGCGGGACCCCGTTCATTCCTATGGAAGTTGCTCATTGGCGCATAAAGGCCAAAAGGTTTGACTTCCCGAATATAAAATTACGTGGATCTTTCACATCACTGAGCTAACAGAACACACACACTGGAGATGTTAGCTGGCCGAGTGACTGATTCCTGGTTTATCCCTTGGCTAGCTTGAATGGGGATGAAATTATTTAATCATGCAGCTCTTCCAGACATTTGAAAAGTTATCGGACTAAATGGATCAAATTTTGACAGTGAAAGATGTCATTTTGAGGTGGTTGTGACGCTCAACACAATGTCTCCACTGATTTACAGACATCTTTTTCACAATGTAAAGCCCTGTTTGCACAGGACTAGTATGACCTCGGGGCCACATTTGATGTAGAAATAAGCTCCCATGCAGGGACATTAATATAGACAGATTGCACTGGGGCCCCTGGGGTGGAGGGGCCTGTAGAAAAAGAGGGCCCTTGCAAGCGATTCAGATTGCCACCTTGGAAATATGCCTGTGTGCAAAGATAAATAATAAAAAAATCTTACGTTAAAATCTGTGCCATTTTCTCATTTAAGTTAACTTTTCTTTTGTCTTTTTCTTTTTCTAAACAGTCCGTAGATTTCTAAAACACAATTATACGCTTTTTCTATAGAAGCTACAAAATCTATTAATATACTTTAAAAACTATTAAATTAAATAATTGCTTTCTTTGATATTTTTTCAGATATGCAATGATGATTGTTGGGTAATATGTACATCAAATGTCATGTCTCTATAGCGTGCATACTGCTCCCATGTCTGTGTTCCGTGCAGCACATTCGCATGGGGTAAGTGCTGTCTGTTTTTTTACTCAGATTTACTGACATTTTCTCCGAAATATGATGCGGACAGTCATTTGTATCTCCAAAGTATAAGTTCTCTATATATCCATTCACTTCTCCTGGCCATTCCAATGGATTCAACTTTTCCCGGATGTCTAGATCTATGAGCGCTGTCACCTGACTCCAACCAATACACAGACTTACTTGACTGGATGTCTATAAGCCAATCACAGTGTGCCACATCATCTAAAATGGACTGCAGTAGAGCTACGCCCCCTTTTTTCAACAAGCATGGCTGTTTGTGAGGCAAGGAGGAAGCGTAAGTCACATTTAAGTCTATTTATGATATTGTTACAGTACATAATATGTGTTTAATGTAAACATGAGATGTTATTTTACTTCTACATGTCAAAATACCCAATTAAAAGATTTTTACTCAGGCTTTTTTTAAAGAATCCATCCATTGGAATGGACTAGGGATCTGAATGTCACCAGAAAATGAATAGGGAGACATTGGTTTGATCTATTATGACTGTCCTGAATTGATTTTCTCATGATACAAACAGCTTATGATGCAACTTATTTAGTATAGAGGTTTTTCTTTTTTCAGACAAAGAGATCTTCGAGACAGCAACAAAGCAACAAAGACACAGTGAACTGAACGCATACAAAGGACAATGAAAAAACACAGAAAGGGTTTTTTTTTGGGGCGCTTTTCCCTAACCGCTGTGAGGGTCCAAAGGACAGAGGGATGTCGTATGCCGTAAAGCCCTGTGACGCAAGTTGTAATTTGTGTTATTGGGCTTTATAAATAAAATTGAATTGGAATTGAAATAAACACAGCTGTCAAACCACACACAAAACTCTGACAACTTCTAGTTCATCCAAAAGACAGAATAGACACGGACAAAAAATACAACGTAATCTATGAAATACCATGTGAAAAAACACACATAGGAGAAACAGGGAGAGGCTTTAACACAAGAAAAACCGAACATAAAAAAGAATGTAAAAAGGAAATAGCAGGACGACTCACAAGATCTCAAAAAGAAAAAGCAAAACAGGAAAACTTAAAATCAGCCATGTCAGATCACTGCAAGAGAAACAATCACGTCATGGACTGGGAGAACACAAAGGTCATAGGGTCAGAAAGCAATAAAATCAAACGCTGGATCAAGGAGGCCATAGAGATCAGGAAGTGGGCCGGGGACTCCATCAACCGGGATGAGGGGGCACCAGCTGATAAAGACACGTCACGACGCACGTCAGATGAAGCTTCTGAAGAAGACTGAAGTTGACAGTCGAAACATGTCAAGGTAAAGCAGCATCTCTTAATCTCTATGTCTGAAAAAAGAAAAACCTCTATACTATGTAATTGAGTAGACAAACTGAACCTAATCGAGTTACTCGATGCAACTTATTGATTATGTACACAAAATGTTAATCTCAGGAGGTTTTGAACTTACTGTTTTCCAGAGATTCTTCAGAAATCTTACTATATAATGACGAAAACTCTGTCTGTCTGTCTCACAGTGGTAGAGGGTCATGGGAGGATGCGAATGAAGCAATATTACATCAATTGGCCAAAGGGGGGCGCTATAGCAACCAACTGAAATTGCAAACTTTGAATGGGCATATCTCATGCCCCGTATGTCGTAGAGACATGAAACTTTGCACAGAGATGCCTCTCCTCATGAGGAACAAATTTGCCTCAAGAACCCATAACTTCCGGTTATATAGATTTTCCTCCATTTTGGATTTTTTGAAAAACACTTAAAATCGATCTCTTCCTAGGAAGTTTGACCGATCTGCATGAAACTCGGTGAACATAATCTAGGAACCAATATCTAAAGTTCCCTCTTGGCAAAAGTTGGAAAACTTACTAAAACTGAGCTTCTATAAGGCAATGACTTTAACTATCTGCCTTTCAACGTGCTACCTCAACTACAGTTTTAGCCCACTAACTATCCCACTATTGGCAATGGTACTACTGTACTTTCAATAAAGCAGTCGTACTATCAAATTTGCAAAAACTCTGTCTGAATACATTGCTCTTCTTAATGGGTTCAGTTGACTATTTAATCTGCAGTTTTCTATGACCTGTATCCCAAACACACACCATGTGAAACTGTACGTGGGCAACTGTGCACTCAATGGGTGTGGACTAGCTGAGATTATTTTGAGTTGTGATGATGACTAGAACGCAAAAGATATACGCAGTGTTTTTTAAAGCATCACTTTATTCACTGACATGAGTTAACCATTCGTGAAAAATAAATAATCTCATGTTTTGTTTGGTTTATAAAGGTCTGTTTACACCATTTATTTTTCATTCATTTTTAAATAACGGGTGGTTACTCATGTTCAGATTATCCATCCATTAGAATGGACAGAGAAAAAAGTGCTTATAACTTGTAAGTGCATGTAGAGCAGTGGTTCCCAACTGGTCCAGCCATGGAATCCAGATTTCTCCTCAGTCATTAGTTCAAGGCCCACACAGTTTAATATATTCAGTGTCATGCTCACATTTGGATTCAGCTGAAGTGTGCTTTTTATAAAACTGGAAAAGTCACTTGCAGTCCACTCAGAATAGACCCGTGACCCACCAGTTGGGAACCACTGATTTAGAGTAAAAAACAAAACAAAAAACAATCCACCATTACAATTCTGAAGTGGTTACAATTTGTAGATTTGAAAAAAAAAAAAAAAAAACAAGTGGCAGACATGACATGAGTAATCTGCCGTGCTGCCGTGCGGTGAGATTTTAGGACTGATCATCGATTACCCGTCATAAAAATCTTGTGAATTTGAAGTAACACCCGTGCATGGAAGTGACATATCAAATCGTGTGAAGTATCAAACACAGTTTAGCAGGCTGCTCTTTGAGTGGGCAGCATCACTACTACTTCTCTTTCACCCTGTGGGTTTCACATCAGGGTTCAACTGTGAACAGGTACATCACTTTAAATTCATAGGAAGTCAAGGTGAGTTGCAGTGCACAGACCACCTCTGCAGAAGCACCATGTAGTAAGGGACAGTTTATTGCATGGTATTGAGTGATATTTAGACAGTGGTCACCAGTGCTCTATATTTGTTGTTGTTGTCAAGACTAGTGAAACCACAGTTCCAGATAGTCTGCAGTAGCGTCAAAGGTTATGGCTCTTGCTGAGGAGTTACTCATGACATCATTTTCCTTGCCTGCTCTCATGATCCCATCCAATCCATGCATTAGAGCTTTTTAACTTCATCTATTTTTTATATTCAATACATCTCTGTCCTAATGTTAAAACTATGCAGCATGGCTATACATCCTCTTTTATAGGTGTATCGTCATTTGTTGTAGATGAGCCACAGAGACGGCCTTTATCTCGATGGTGGGTAGTTCATTTCCTTCTGTGTTCACAAGTGGTCAAGGCTGCATGAGAGACTTAGATTCTGCTAAAAATGCATGCAAGCAAAGACAGATACGCTGCAGAGTAAACAGCAGAGCACAATATTTACATATTCTGTGGAGGAAATAACACTTAAGAGAATGCAGGAAGGGCAAAAATAAATAGGTAAGAAGTTAGTTCTCTAGTTCCTATCTACCACCAACAGGGTTAGGGTTAGCTACAGTGGTTCTGGTACACATTAACTGTCAAGTCTGTGTGCTCCAACCCGGGTGTTGCTCGCATCGGGATTCTATCAGCCAGACCACATGCCGAGGTGGCCTAGCTCACATTGAGTTCAGATCTAAAGTGTGGACAACATTTGGACACAATCTGGACGACTTGTCAAATGTAAGTCTCCTGCAACATCTTCTTCTGTCCCAGGGCTTCTCTCCTGAGCAAAAGCAAAGGGATGGCCGCGGCTCGAGCACAGCTGAGACCTGTCATCTTATATATAGCACTGTGTACCAGAAGCAACATTATTCACTTGTCTCCACTGTTGACAAAGCGTGTTGCGTACATTCCTGCCATCATTACAAAATAATTCAAATCTAAAGAAAATAGGAAAGCACCAGGGATTCCATTATCCAGTAATGCAGGAAAATCTGTTGAAGTCTGACATATTCAGACCTCTCCTATCTATCAGCTGGGCCTTTACGTAAATGAAATGTACGTTTCAGCTGTGCACTGGAAATCATAGCCTACTGGAGACATAACCGCTTAAAAGACATTTTTACTGTTTAAACAGAAAGCACATGTTTTGCCTTTGCATTCTCATCCCAACTCATCAAATATCACCGCTTTGTTTGTGGACTTTCACATCTGCATATGACATGCTAGGTATCCTCCTGCGTCTGTTGTTGATGTCCTGTGACACAGCGTCAATTTACTCTTGTTACGTGCATTGTGTCTTTTCAAAATACACGTTAGTATTCACAGGACATGTACAGTTTCTGCTCATTAGATGCATACAGTCTTTTTTGAAAATAAACTTACAACGTAAGTAAAACACCTTGCATTTACATTTATTTCCTTGTGTAACAAAAGCATGTGGTTAGGTTTAGAAAAAAAACATGGTTTGGCTCAGCATTCACACAGGAAGTGAACAGCAGGCTGTAGCTGGGGGTTTGTCAGACCTGTTCACTTCCTGTCCTCACCTGCCCCAGATGGACTTTCGTGCTCCATATATTACATTGTTACCCAGAGCAATACAAAATGCTGCTGGCCAGTGCGTTTCATAACACTGTGAAACATGCCTTTGTGCGTCAGTATCTTACGCAGATGTCCACTGACATAGTGCTGGCATTTGACACCTTTGGTCGGTGGTGCGTATTATACCACCTGTAGTGGCAATCCCTTGGAATATCAAGGAAGCCACTAATGAGCTGACTGAAAAGTTGAAATTACCCTCAGTCACATGGTACAAAACTATGTGCTCGCGTGCCTAATGCAGCTCTCTGCTCAATTAACTGAAGATGACGTAAATTACAAAATAAACAGGAGCGTCGTCATCAAAATTGAACATACATGTGTTTTGGTCCTTTTACATTTTTGTACAATATTTAAGTTTTATGCAGTGTCT